CGCCACTCATTATTTTTCTTCGGAACTAAGTGTAATGGCGATGACCATGGACTGTCTGATCTTACTGCAATACCTGCTCTTACCATATCCTCGAACTCACGGGTGGCTATTCGGAGTCGATCCGGTGCTAGACGACGAGGACGACTGAATACTGGTGGCCCTGGAGTGGTACGGATGTGGTGAAACGTATTATGTTTAATTTTACGCTTAGACAGGTCCCCAGCCGGACGAGTGATGTCCGGGAACTGAGAAAGCAAATCATGATAGCGTGAAGTACCTGTAACAGACTTAATTTGATATAAATCGGTTGACGCAGGTTGAGCGTGAGCACTGAGCGACGTTATATTGTCTATCAAACGGTGATGTCTAGCATCCACTAATAAGTTATAATGCGACAAAAAATCTATGCCTATAATAGGCTTGCCGACGTCGGCTATAACGAAACGCCAAAAGAATGCACGTCTAAGTCCAAAATCTAAAGAAATGTTTATCCAACCGAACGTGTTTATGGTTGAACCGTTTGCTGCATACAGTTTATAGTCTGTTTTCACACATTGTCGATTTTGTACGCACTTATACGGGTAAACACATAAGTCTGAACCGGTGTCAACTAAATATTGCACTTTTGTCTTACGATCGGTTACAAAAACACGGCCAGCTGTCACACTACCGCAGTCAGGAGTCGCCGTCTTCACTGACTGCTTGTTTCGTTTCCCTCCCTGAAAGAACACGGCTCCCGGCACTTCGTAGATTTGTTACCAAAACGTCGATGGTACCAGCAGTGCCTTTTATCTACGCTGGAGCGGCTTCGGGATCGTTGACGCCAGCGCGGGGACTGTGCTCGAGTTCTCGAGCGCGAATGGGATATAGCTGACAGCTCGTCCATCTTCGTTGCGAGATCATCAATGCGGCGTGTCAATTGTTCCAGAGTGAACGTAGAAGAAGAAACTTCGGTTGTGGGAACTGCCGTAGACGTTGCAGCCACTTGATTGTGAGGTTGGATGGTAATCTCATGAATTTTGTCAACAATTTGAGCGACTGAGTCTAGAGGAAGGTCGACTTGCGCTGTTATAATCGCTTGTACGTGACTAGGTAAACAACTCGTCCACAGTGACCGAATAAACTCGTCGGGTACATCCGATCCAGCTAGATTTCGTAAGTGTCGCAAGAATTGTGACGGTTTTCTGTCACCCAACTCTTCATGTGTAAGAAGCTGTCTCACTCGTTGTTCTTGGGACGCAGATAACCGCGAAATCAACTCAGTTTTTATCTTCTCGTATTTGTTTTCCGTTGGCGGATTAGTGATAATGTCTTTAACTTCACACACGTATTTATAATCTAGATTTGAGCAGACGTTTGTCAAGACGTGGTAAAATTTTGTCGCATCAACAGTGATATTTGAAAGCGCGAACTGTCCTTCCAATTGTACGAACCACAACGCGGGCTCATTAGGCCAAAATGGCGGGACTTTTACACCAACACGACAAACCTCACTCGTACTGTCCATCTTGCCGCTATTTGAAGTCATCACTTGTTAATGCAACGATTATATTTATAACTGGTACACTGAATCACGTCGGGGTCACCACTGTGGTTTGTTATTTGTATTCTCGTGATATTATGCTCCGAATACATAAAAGTCAAACACACCAATTAAACAATATATATAATGTAATATGTGTACAATGTTCTATTATAAAGTAAAAAGAGTAAACAAGTCGCTAGGCACTACAAGGCACAAATCAAAACTAAAATTATAATACGTTTTACAATCAACTTAAATCGGCGCGCGCGAAACTCGCAGTGTGACGTCACGGGACACCTGCGCGTTCGGTAACTCCGATCGCGACCGATGACGCCCGAGTGCAACCAAATGTTGCACGCTACAAATATACAGCAATTGTTTACTGTTAAATATTGTGTAGTTTTACCCTATTGATAATTTATCAGACTGGCAGCCACGTTGGTTCACACGAAGGCGGTAAAGGCGCGGTGTGCCTGCGAGCGACGGGCGGGTTGGTGTTCGCGGGCTGCTACGATGGCTGCGTGTATGTGTACCGCGAGGGAGAGACCAGACCCCTCGCGCAGTTACGTGGCCCCAGCCTTATGTTACTGTCTCTGGCTATTGTTGGCAGCAAGGTAACATACATTTATATATAATTAATAATTAATACAATTAACCCTTTGCTATAGTGGCTTTTTGAAGTGAAAACTTCTTTAGAATCGTTGTGATTTCAAACCGGATGCAACGGAAAAAACGACAGGTAAGAGACACAAATACAAAAATGTGTAGGATGATACCAGCAAAGAATGAGACAGAAATATACATACTATTTAATACAGCGCCATCTGTGAGATTTTTTAAAACTAACGTGTGTATGAAAGCTCTTGTAGTGAATTTTTATTTAGGATTATACGTGAAATTAAAATATCAATTCACAGAGGGCGCTACCTTACAATTATTTACTAATGACAAAATTTTACATATACTTAAGACGTTTAGGATAATTGTATTTTAATTTTGGAAGGTTTCACTTCTACCACGTGTTAATTGCACACATGTTTTTTATTAAGTAAATATTAAACCATCTGAACGTACCAAAACTAATTAGAGAATATTTTTACACATTATCTTTCTACATTTAATGGTTTCAAATTGCATATAATTTGTTTTATAATGGATCATATGTGTTTACTAACTAGGTGGGTGAGCGAGCTCACGCCTCACCAAACCGAAACTTATTGATGCCATAACGCAGATGCCACTAGCGATCCATAACCCATGGCCATATCACGGCAGAAATAAGTTATAGTAATTTCTAAATTTATAATTCTTTTACTGGTTAATTTTTATTAAACAATCTTATGCCTACATTGTGGAAACCAAATATTATAAAATCGATTTTTTTTTATTCCAGATAATCGCGGGCTATAAAGATAGAGGATTGTATATATGGAAGATACCTTTAAATATACTAAAGGAAATGATTTTATGAATATCTACCTGAATGTTAATAGATTTTCTCACCTTTAGTTGTAGTTGTTATTCATAAATGTAAAGATTTTTTTCTGTAAATAAAAAAAATATATATTTTCCAGAGTATTTACTTTCAAAAGCTGTTTTCTCATTAATTCAGCCCTAAGGCCCGAGTCACACCGTAATGGCAGCGGCCGGCAGCTTCGCGGCGAGCACTTTCAGTGTGAAATAATTTTAAACTTTATCTATATACCGAAAAGATCAGTATCGCTTGAAAAGATAGAAAAGGTCGCGACACAGCCGCCGCCTGCCTGCGGTGAAGCGGGCAGCCGCGCGCCACGTGCGTCTTGTCGGTGGTTCTGCCCGCGGCTGTCAGCGGCGAAACAAGGCCGCTCGCGGCACCGCGGTCATATATAATAACCAATTCCATCACGTTCACTACAAACACACGAGTATTATTGCCGAACTAAGAAACTAAACTAGTCAAGAGGAGACTAGGCGCGTGTAGTCGAGAGGCCGCCAGCGGCGACGCCGGGAGCCGCCAGCGGCGACGCCGGGAGCCGCTGGCATCGCCGCCGGCCGCTGCCATTCCGGTGTGACTCGACCCTAAAGCGTCCAAATGTTAGGAAACACTGTTACCTGTTACAATCGTATTATGTAGAAATAATTAACGATTGTCCATTAACCACTATAGTTATAAATGTGGCATTGAAAGCATTTAAGCATTTTGTTGTGCAGTCATAATGTAAAACCAAATTTTAGGTACCTACCTATGATGATAATTTCTGAGAAAAAACAAAAGCAAGCTTTTTGGTAAGATATTGAATAAATGTTTGAAAAGTGGTATATTCAATAAAATCTGTGAAACTTATAGTATTTTTTTTTTATATTTGGTGTCTACGATGAATGATGACTAAACCTGTTTCTAATAGAACAGTATAAAATGATTAACTTATTATTTAATTACAAATTATAACTCATGATATATTAGTCATGTCATGGCCTAAAGGCTGTGCGCTCGTCAGCTCGTCCACCCACCTAATTGAAAAAAAAACAATAGTGCTCATAAACTGCTTCTTTAAGTAATGGATAATTTATTAAACTCAATTCGTTTAAAGTATGCTTTTTGTAAATATTGTAAATACCCTGGGAAAAAAATTTCGATAAAAAATAAGGCGATCTTTGGAGCACAATGTTGGATTTTAGTCAATTAATAATTAATTATTATTTTCGTTTTTTATTGCTTAGATGGGTGGATGAGCTTACAGTTTACCTGGTGTTTGGTTACTAGAGCCCATAGACATCTACATCGTAAATGCGCCACCCACCTTGAGATATTAGTTCTAAGGTCTCAGTATAGTTACAACGGCTGCCCCTCCCTTCGAACCGAAACGCATTACTGCTTCACGGCAGAAATAGGCAAGGTGGTGGTACCTGCCCGTGCGGACTCACAAGGGGTCCTTACCACGCAAATTATATTTCTGCGGGCTTGACTTTTATTACACGATGTTATTCCCTCACCGTGGAAGTCAATAGTGAACATTTGTTAAGTATGTATTTCATTAAAAAAACTGGTACCCGCATGCGGGATTCGAACATCGTTGCATCAGTAGATACGAATGCACCGGACGTCTTATTCTTTGGGCCATGACGACTAATAAATTTCAAGCCTAAACTTACGGTGAATTGTTGACGTGAAATAAATAACCCATTCTCACCAAGAAAATCAATTAACATACCTCGACAAAACTTGAAAAATATAAAAATGAATAGTATAATAATTGAAACAGTAATATTTGAACCAACATACATTCATTTTATTAACAATTTTTAGAGTAAGTGGTTAAAATTGGGGCCTTTACCTTATGTACATTTCCGTGGTCTACATTTTGCTAAATATGAGCACTGACTGCCCTACGCAAAAAGAAACAAAAAATCGACTAAAGGATTACTCGATTCCTAAAATAAATTGTTTTTGAACGCAAATTAATTCTTGCCAAGTGGCACTCCTGTTTAAATCTGACTTACGTCAGTGGGTGTTTCGTTCGGCGGCCATTATCCTACGTAGAATTAATTTTTTTTCGCTATTTAGTACTAGAAACAAAGAACTTAAGTGCTTTCGATAAATTCTACAACTAAATTGTGTGAAAAACAATTACTAGTACAACAATAAAAAAATGAATCCAGAATAGTGAGTATTACATCTGTAACATGGCGATTTCATGAACAAGGATGGGCAAATATCACGTCTCTGTATCCTCATTATAAAATTTGCTTCATTTTTTACAATATTACGAACTACATTCACACCATAAGATATAGTTTTTTAATTTACACTAATAGCTATATTGTGATGACGGGGGTGAGTCATTGTGTTCGTGGTAGGTACTATAGTAATAGTGAAAACGTAGTCATTCGTATCGTGAATGGCGTATTTGATCTAAAATGTTATCATCGCATTTCCCGGATTTCAATTACAGCTTATACATTTCTGTCAAAAAATATACGACGTTCCTTTGTTTGAGGATACAGAAGTTACGCCTCCTAAGGACATCAATAATTCTTCCAGTACAAACTGCATGATTTGCCCTTGACACGCACAGTATTTGTTTTAAAGTATATTTCAATTATTGATTACAGCGACTATTTATTCAAACTACTCCTGATTGGTGACTCTGGCGTTGGGAAATCATGTCTGTTGCTAAGATTCGCTGATGATACGTACACCGAGAGCTACATCAGTACTATTGGCGTGGACTTTAAAATTAGGACTGTAGACTTAAATGGCAAGACAATAAAGTTACAAATATGGGACACAGCTGGACAGGAGCGGTTTAGAACCATCACCTCATCATACTACAGAGGAGCACATGGAATCATCATTGTATATGATTGCACAGACCAGGTAATTATATGACCCTACACAAATATTTTCAGAATAAAATATCACATCTTAAGAACAAAAAAAAACATTGTCTATTTTCTTTTTTATACTAAAATAAATGTTTAAAATAAGTATTTTATAAAAAATCTCAAAGATTATGGTTTTCAACAAAGAAAACAAAGAACCAACATTTGACACATCTAAATTGCACAAAGAAGATTCACAAATTCAAATGTAAACTAAACCATTATTAATAATTACAAAATCTAGTATTTTCATCTGGAGTACATAGTAAAATTTCTATATAAATTAGAAAATTGTTTATGCAAACAATAAATGAGAATATAAAAAAATTGGCATTAATCCAGTTCTCCAAACAAAACACTGAAGTGTAAACAATCAATGCAGTGAATCATATTAATCTATACCTCTCCTCCTACCTCTCTATATCTATACGGTTCAATATTTTAGGTGTTGATAAAAAAATTACAATTTGCTTCACTTGTAAAATTTGAACTAATATTATAAATATGGAACTGGATTTTTTAACTATTAGACACAGTTGACTTTACGTTTTGTATTTCTTATAACTTTTTATTTCCTTACTACAACTATTACACATTTAAAAAAAGACATTTCATGGTTGAAAATAATATGTAGTTTAAAAATAAAAAAAATATGCTCTATGAATGGTATTTATTAAGATAATTTGCAAGTTCATTAGATTAGAGCAATGATACCATATCAATGTATGGTAATATATAAATAAATTTGCACACATTAAGATTAATATGACTATTATAATATATAAGATTAAATTTTTGAATTTTTCTGTGAGAAAATCTAGTAATAGTGTCCTATTAAAAAAGATGCTTATCATTTGAAAATTCATTGTGAACTATTTAAGAGATTTACAGAAGCTTTAGAGTACATCAAAATATAATAGTTAAGGTCAATGATTAGTAGTTTGACACATCAAATTTTACTAAAAAAACTCATCTTTTATTCATTTGGAAAAAAAGTATTATTAACATAAAAATATAATGTGAAGGCAACATTATTATAACCTTGCGTTTAATATTATTTAGATTGAAGTATTATCATTTTTTGTATTGAATATTTGAATTGTGGATAGGTAATTGTAATATATATATATTTAAAACAGTCAAACAATAGATTAGAAGCAAAAGTGTAAATTTATTTGTAACCAAGATCTCTAAAGTGTTCAATATTGTGACCAAACTTTCTAAAGTGACAGCTTACTAACTAGTTAGTTTTATTTCATGCGTCATATATCAGGATTTCCCCTTTTTTTAAATCAAAGAAAAGCTTTCTTAAAAAAATATATGTATATTCAATTACAGGATTCATTCAGCAACGTGAAACAGTGGTTAGAGGAGATTGATCGTTACGCTTGTGACAATGTGAACAAACTGCTCGTCGGTAACAAGTGTGACTTGACCACTAAAAAGGTTGTCGACTTTAGTACAGCTAAGGTAAGTTATGAATGAATAAATAAGTCTGTAAAGTAACTTTGTAACCAATTATTTTAGATGACTAAAAGTGGTTGAAGCTACTGTGTGAATACACTATTTTTTTTTATTGCCTTTGTAGGCAGACGAGCATACGGCCCACCTGATGGTAAGTGGTCACCGTCGCTCATAGACGTCAGCAATGCCAGGGGCAGAGCCAAGCCGCTGCCTAACATAAAGTAGGCATTTGAGCTTTGTTTGTATGTATATTGCTACTGATGTAATACTATACTATAGTAACTATACTGAGACCTTAGAACTTATATCTCAAGGTGGGTGGCGCATTTACGTTGTAGATGTTTATGGGCTCCAGTAACCACTTAACACCAGGTGGGCTGTGAGCTCGTCCACACATCTAAGCAATAAAAAAAAAAAAAAAACCTATTGCACAATCCCTAATCAATAATTAATGAGTAGTACTCTACATGTTGTCTTTGATTCTTCGTCTGGATCATTTGCTTTGTGTGCAATTTTTGTTTGTGTTTTAATAAAATTTAAGAGAAGCAAGTTTCATTGTGAAATTGAGTGACATTTGTATTTTATGATCTGGTAACCTGTAGACTAGTTGTTAACATAAAGAAATTAATGTAATAAAAGATCTAAAGAATCTCCCAATCGACAGCATTTCGGTCAATTCATAGTACAATAATGTGTTCCACTTGTGTAAACATCATTGCTAAAACTGATAGCTGATGTTATTTCACAAAGCACAAATATTTATCAATAGGGGTGTCGTGCAAGCTCATCTCTTTTGAATTTCGTATAAAAATTTTAGCTTCCGCTTCGCTTCAGGGATCCGTTCGTTGGTTCGCTTCAGGTAGTTCCGATTACTGATTGACTGCGTGCCATCTTTGCAATCATTGCTTTTATAGTCGATACGACATCCTTAGAATTGTCGAGAACATTCCTTACAGGTCGAATATTTTCGATGTGTTTCCGCTATCTGAAAATAAATGGCGTTGTACTTCTCAAGCATTCTAGATGTTATTAAATCCTTTGATATTCGTTTCGGCGATAGATGGCGTTACTCTTATCGGCGTAACAATATGGATCCATGTAAATGTTTTTTTTAAATATCTATATTAATATATAAATCTACAGTGGTTTTTACGGATGTTCCATTATAACTACTGAACCATGCATCTGATCGACTTGAAACTTGGTATCCATGTAGAAAATACGTGTACTTAATGGATAGGCTAATATTTATATGAGTGTTGGACTACGTACACCAGTTGCGGGGGCGTTAATGATGAGAATTTTTGTGGGGGGGGGGGGGGTGAGAAATAATAATGTTAATTTTAAATGCCCAGCGAAGCGGACGGGTACAGCCAAGTTATCTTTTTTTTTATTGCCCTTGTAGGCCGACGAGCATACGGCCCACCTGATGGTGAGTGGTTACCGTCGCCCATGGACTTCAGCAATGCCAGGGGCAGAGCCAAGCGCGCTGCCCACAAAATTATCTAATATGTGGTTTTGAATATGGCAGCAATATGCGGAACAACTGGGCATTCCGTTCCTCGAGACGTCAGCGAAGAACTCTACGAACGTTGAGCAGGCGTTCATGACGATGGCGGCGGAGATCAAGGCGCGCGTGGGCCCGCCCTCCACCGGCGCCGCGCCCGCCGGCCACGTCAAGATCGATCAGGGACAGCCCATCGACACCGGCAAGTCCTCGTGCTGCTGAATACTGCCTGCTTACTCACGAGGTAACCACCGCATCAGCCCGCTGAGTTTCTCGCTGGATCTTCTCAGCGGGTCGCGATCCCGATCCGGTAGTAGATTCATTCGCGAAGCAATTTCTCTTGAGTTGTTAAGTCTCATTCGGACGCGCTCGGGCAGTTGTTAGCAAATCCCACCCCGCCTGGCTGAGCATTTGCTCGCCCACCTGTCCTGATGAAACTGGAAAGGCCTCCGAGCCAACAGTAATACTTCAATCATAAAAAAAAAGTAACTAACATCTGCCATTTACAACTGCTCTTATCACTTCATAAATGTTGACCGATAAAATAGGCTTTTACTAAACGTACTTGACAAATGTTCTCGATTGACTTCCACAGTGAAGGAATAACGTCGGGTAATAAAAATCAAATCCGCAAAATTATAATTTGCGTAATTAGTGGTGGTAGGACGTCTTGTGAGTCCTGCCTTGCCTATTTCTGCCGTGAAGCAGTCATGCATTTCGGTTCGAAGGGAGGGGCAGCCGTTATAACTATACTGAGACCTTAGAACTTGTATCTCAAGGTGGGTGACGCATGTACGCTGTAGATGTATATGGGATTCAGTAACCACTTAAACGCCAGATGCGCTGTGAGCTCGTCCACCCATCTAAGCAATAAAAATATATATATATATGAGTCAACTGTAAGAGAGAGATAGAGAGACAGAGAAGTCAATATATCCTAATACATGTCTCATGCGCGTGGATAATGCCCTCGTGCTCTTACCTGCAGACTTATATCTCAAGGTGGGTGGCGCAATTACGTTGTAAATGTCTATGGGCCTCAGTAACCACTTAAACACCAGGTGCGCTGTGAGTTCGTCCACCCATCTAAGCAATAAAAAAAAAATTAATATTTAATTAATTTAATATTTAATTTAATAATTAATTAATTTCATATCAACCACTCGTGTCTTCATTTGTTTTAAACAATTCCCTATTGGCAGCGTGCGTGCGTGACGCGAGGATAGAGACAGACGAGGACAGTTCCGGTCACACCCGCGACACTACAACAATGAAATTACAACAAAAAAATATCGCAACATTACGATTATAAATAAATAAATTTAAACAATTTTGTGTGACGCCCGCTCGTCCACCGCTAACGTTATTTAGTTGCTGTCAGGTTAAAATTTAGAACGAAAAAAAAAAAGATTAAAAAAATATTTACAAAAAAAACGGTGTAGTGTATGAACGTATGTTCGTACACGTGTTTATATATATAATGAATATCTTAGGTTAATTTTGTGCTGTTTCCGGTAAGAAATTATGATTCGATAACTGAGCGACGTTAGGATGTGTGTGCGCAGTGCGATAGTTGGAAACACAGGTATAAAGCGGGTTTCAGACTACGATATAGTATACCAGCATATAGTAAGCCCATAATATATAGTACAGTGTGAACGTATCCATAACAATGTATGGTGCGCGATATTGTTGTGCTATGAGCTATATACTATATGATATTATAGCGTAGTCTGAAAGCGGCTTAACATTGTATAGGAACGGGCCTTGTACCATATTCGTAAGGAATTAGCTAATGTTCCGGTGGTCGCACACTGGGACTTGGGGCGTCATACGCTATGTATGTATTATAGTATTTGTAACTCCATGTACATGTGATCGAACGAAAACCAACCTAATTGTAATAGATACAAAGTTCGATTTTGTTTCGATCGTATAAGGCGAATATTTAATAGATTCGTCGAGCTTAGTGGCCCGATAGGAGTCGTGCCAGACTTGTCTATGGCTATCTATAATTTATATAAAATGTTTGGATCGCCGTGAGGGACCAAGCAGAATTTCATTGAATAACGAACATTTAATTAAAAAGCAATATACCTAAACCTGTGTTTCGACAATTCTCCGACGGCCATGTACACGTGTGATTATAGAATCAGTGATACCACAGTAGCATTGTGACAGTGTGTGACCATCATAAAAAAAAACTTAAGTGAAGAATTAAAAAAAAAATCTGTCTTTCTTATACTGTCCATTACGCATAGGCTAATTATAGATTTTTTTTATCAATATTATTATATTCCAGCTTGTGTTAAGTTTTTTATTTTATGATCACTCGAGGTACTAATATAAATATGCACTGGGTGTTTTAATATTTACATTGTAATAATGTTATGTCGAAGCCTGTAAATGTTGTGCTATGTTGAAAATTTTGTGTTCATCCGAATGATGATCATGGAATTGTAGATATAGCTAAACGCCCCTAGATTTAGACACACACATAAACACAGTAAATTTGTAGCAGTTTAAAAGCAAATAACGCTTCGATGAACAGTTTAAAAAAAAAGTCTACAAATCCCTCTTGCTTTATAAAGTTTAATGTGATTTAGTTGCAAATTGAATGTAACTCCGATATTTATTTGAGCACCATTTTGAACTGTTGATCGAAGGTAATATAGTATTAATTAAAAGACATATTCAATATCACGGCTATGTGATAGTTAATTTTTTTTTATTGCCTACTTGCAAAGCTTTACATTATTAATTGTTGAATCAGATTTTTTAAGTTTTGTAAACTGATTTGAACGTCTGAATGAAACAACAATTTGTGATGTGGGGATTTTATTATTAATTATATAAATTATTTTATTTAACTCCGGTCTATTTCTGTAATAATTCGTTATTTTTATACTATTATTACATCAAGGTTAAGTTTACTTAATGTCGAGTCCGCTGGCCCCTGTAATTTCTGTATCGAGGGTTCATTAGAAATTAAAACAGTATGCTATGAAAAGGATGTTTTATTTTAGGTTTATCTTTACACATTAAATCATAATTAAAAGAAATTAACAGCAGCATCTCATCATGTACTCGTAGTCGTGACAGAGTCCGTGGAGATTGAGTGGGCACTGCAGGAACGAGGGACAGATTATTGGCAGTTGATCTGTAGGAGGATAGCAAATACATTAAAATTGTATCATGATATTCGTTTGAACTTCCGGGGAATAGAGGCCTTTTTTAACCCTAGGGAATCCGTTTACGGATACCCGGTCTAAGTGACCTGAAGGAAATTGAGAGACATGAGTTGCTATCTAGAACCAATCCATTCATTGTATGGTGCGTTTCCACAGATCTATTTTGCCATGGGTTTAGAACCATACCTTCTACGGTATTATTGCCTTAGTGTTATAGATGACTCTTCAAACAAGACTCGAATGCCTTCAGCGGTATATCTATGAGCATCGGTGACTATTCACCATCAAGCCCATATTTTCGTCTGCCTAGAAAGGCGATAAAAACATCATTTTCAGCCTGTGTAATAATAATTTTTTTATTTTTTTTTATTGCTTAGATGGGTGGACGAGCTCACAGCCCACCTGGTGTTAAGTGGTTACTGGAGCCCATAGACATCCACAACGCAAATGCGCCACCCACCTTGAGATACAAGTTCTAAGGTCTTAAGTATAGTTACAACGGCTGCCCCACCCTTCAAACCGAAACGCATTACTGCTTCACGGCAGAAATAGGCAGGGGTGGTAAAAATGTGATATTAAGCCTTAAAAGTACTTTGAATCGTGTCAGATCTACTAGGAATGAATTATGTGGTTAAAGTAAAAAAAAACATCTCGAATCAAATAAGAAGCGGAACATTCAAATTCTCCGAACAAATTAAGGACAAGGTGGTTAAAAAGTAAACTTCCAAGTTTCTGTGTATGATAATAATAACTCGCTCACCTAAAGGATATGCACAACCACAACAGTAGCCATGAATGATAGCTTCATCGTCTTCGCAGCCTCTAGGAGGACACCCATTACACCACATACCGATCCAGAGCCAAGGTAAATTCCCTAAAATTTAATTCATTTAAATTAACATTATCGTTTTGTTGAACTGTTTATTTGAAGGTGAAATATCCCGAATAACCTTTGCTATTTAGGGCGCGATTGTTTGTAAGTACACTTTAAAATGGTATAATATTTAAGTTCGCTCTAAAATCTTATGGTTCCGTTGTTGATGTTGTTAGATGTTGAAAAAGAAGCTGCCGCAGTCAGGCTAAGATCTATTAGGAGTTTTATTGAATAAAATTAATTGCATAGTAATAACGCCATACTAAGTCAGCGTCGACGATCATAATTTTGTTATATCGTCATTCTTAAGCGTTTAGTAATTTTTTATTGCTTTAGCAAGAAAACTGGTGCTGCGACAGGACATAGGGTTCAGAAGTTCATTACAGAATTGCATGGCAGGAAAGACTACCACAAGATACCAGAGATTAGTGATCGCTATATGGAGTTAAACAGATGCAATTGATATTTCGCATTCAACACCGCATGTGACGTCTTGAGTGAGAGTTAGGATCTGCTAAGAACACCCACCATTCTTGAGGCTAACCAGTATTTGCCTTCAGGTGACTCGGTACTGGATGTGAGGTACATAAGGAGATAAATGTCTAAAAACTACTGCTGGTCGCTTATGTATATATGGCTGTTTTCCCTAGAATAAGCATAAAAGCTTTTTGTTGGGAACGCGAGAAGCGAAGTTGTGCGAAGTTTCATTTTGTAACTGTTTAGCATCTGAGATACTGTAAAAATGTGGAAAAATGAAACAAAGCCGCTGGACGTGGCTTCTCGGGTTCTGCCCGTTCCAGAACTATGAAAAGTTATTGCTATCTGTAAATTTACGTCACTGTTCTTAGGGTAGGATGAACTTAATCTTTCAATACCAAAATTTACTTAACATATTCCAGCACGGTACGTGCTTGAGATACGTGAAAATAAATACTCACATCGAGGTGCTTTTCTAACTNAAAATGAAACAAAGCCGCTGGACGTGGCTTCTCGGGTTCTGCCCGTTCCAGAACTATGAAAAGTTATTGCTATCTGTAAATTTACGTCACTGTTCTTAGGGTAGGATGAACTTAATCTTTCAATACCAAAATTTACTTAACATATTCCAGCACGGTACGTGCTTGAGATACGTGAAAATAAATACTCACATCGAGGTGCTTTTCTAACTGCCTCAATTCCGGTATTCACAGAATTCTTGACGAACAGTGCATTGACGTTAAGCAGGAGACAGGCTAACAAAAAACCTTGACCTATCCTTCCGATATCCATTTTGTGAATGCTGTCAGATCGTGTCCGTTTAAATATATATGTGAGGTTAGTATTATTAGTTACATAGCTAATTAGTCGTAGGTCAGTGACAGTAATTTTTAGGAACTGACCCTCATTAGCGTTTGACTGGAATGAAGTAATTAAAGAAGTTTACTGAACTTTTGGATAGTTCATTGTCTTAAATCTATACTAATATATAAATCTACAGTAGTTTTTACGGATGTTTCGTTATAACTACTGAATCATGCATCCGATTGACTTGAAACTTGGTATCCATGTAGAAAATACATGTACTTAATGGATAGGCTAATATTTATATTGAGTATTGGACTCCCTACACCAGTTGCGGGGGCGTTAATGATGAGAATCTTTGTGGGGGTGAGAAATAATAATGTTAATTTTAAATGCCCAGCGAAGCATACGGTTACAGCAAGTCACAAATAATGTTAGACTGTTGATTGTACTATCATTCCTTTCTTTTCGTCTTTAGCTGGCGTACGAGCACACGGCCCACCTAGTGCTAAGTGGTTATCGGAGCCACGACGACAATTTTATTACCAGGCGTCTCCTTTTTCAAACCGGAACGCAGGACTGCTTGCCAACAGAAATGGGCATAGTTATGTTATATGTCCGTGCAAGTTTTACAAATATGCCAATCTATATGTAAATTCAATTCAAACACATAATTTTTTACACGATTTTATTAGCTGTGTGTTTGTGTGTAATGGAACCTTTGAATGTCGTCTTGACCTACTTTAATACGTTAAATGAACTTGAAAATTTGTCCAAGCATCAAGGACCGTTGACAATACAATAATTTTATAACTTCGCTCTAATTTCCAGATCCGCATCTACGGGATAAAAAAAAATGTGAAATTAATTGTTAGTTCGGTTTGATATTTAAGCTTTTTTTTGTTTTATTTGAAATTAAATATATTATTAGAGGAAATAAATCATAGTTATATTTTTATAATATACTTTATTTGGAAAGTTTATTAACCCATACGAACTAGTATTTTGTTTGACAATTAAAATTATCAATCAAGTGTAAATAAAAATGTACGATAAAATTAATACTTGTAAAAGGTAATTATTTATTTTATAAAAATGAGATCACTTTATCACAGTAAATCATTATGCACCATTATGTGCAAAAAAATATGATACAAAAAAATTAATTCAATAACAAATGTATTTTAAAGTTAAATTTCAACAAAAGGTCGGCTGTTTTTATCTCCAACTTTTATAATAAAATGTTCATATTTTTCCTTAAAGACTAACAATAAAAAAAAATTACACATGAATCCGTATCAAAGCGATTTTTTTTAAATAGACTTGACCGCGTTTTACACATCTACAAATATTAGGAGCATATAAATCGCCAATCAAACAGTATACAACATACTCCATCCTATCGATTTTTGATCACTGACAATAAGTCATTGGCACACACATGAGTTTTGACACAAGAAGCATTTACTTACAAATTAACAATCATAGTACCTGACAGGTCTTATTCATTTTCATTCGGAAAAACATTTTTAGTTGTCTTCTAAAGCTTCGATAACTTACGAATAAAGCCATAATGCTTGGAAATTGAATCTAATTTGTCTCTTTGAATCTATATAATGTTTGATTATATTCACTGGATAGATCATAATGATTGAACAGGTGGATTATGATGTAAACATACATTTTAATTTGTTGCAATTTTTCTAAATACATAATAATATACATCAATTTGTATAACAGCATATTGTATCATTAAAATATTTATAAATTATTGATTATTGTATTATTGAAATATTTTTGTGTATTATGTCATTATTATTTATTAATATTTCTTTATTATATTTTATATGTTCAAAGTTCATAGTTATCGTAGTTTATTTGAATAATTAATAATGGTGTATTTGGAATTAAACTTTTAACGACTAGAAAGAACTTTTGATAAGTAGTATATTCAATACATATACATAATAAATATATCGACACAAATTTCCCCCCCCCCCCCAATTCGCCGGTAGCCTAGAAGTCTATACCAGCTACGCACTAGCTGATACGTTTTAATACAATGCAGACTTCGACTCGTGTCTCAAGGCGAGTGACGTAAATCCTAGGGTCTGTGATATCTGGCTTAGAGATGAGTCGTACTACGTCCACCTGTTGGTGGACTTAATATCTGATTTACCTAGTACGTTATATTTCTTTTAGATTTACCTAGTACGTTATAGTTCTTAAGATTAGGAACACCTAATCTTAAGAAATACCTAATCCACATAATCTTCCTAATCTCATTCACAACAAATCCTTTACTTAGCAAGCAATCTCTATCTGCCTATTCCTAATCTCAGGTTCTTAGTTCGTTATTAAGATTGGATTAATGTGATCGTTGGATCATTATTTGAATGATTAGGATTAGGCATTTAGGGGTTATGATATACGTTGCAATGTATAAGTGAATGAGATAGCGCAGGTACAGGTGGGAGCGTATGCTGAACATTCTATTTTACGTTTTAAGAATACAAAGATTAGGTGGAACAGGTGGATTATACACATTGAAAAAATGGGATTAGGTGCAGCCTAATCTCGTAAAATACCTAATACTCGGATCTGTTCTAATAAATCCGACTCATCTCTAATCTGATCAACTTTGGACACCAGATATGAGCTGCTCCGCGTAACTATAGCAATCTCACCAACAAACAAATTTCTTTTGCTAGTTCATAATGTTAAAAGATAGATTTTGTAATTTATTATTAAGGAGTAAACTTGACTTAAACGGAAGCTCGTTCGATGATGTCTTGAGTGAGAGACGCCCGCGCTCGCAGACGATAAGGTCGGGTAGGAGCTTCGAGTAAAGCTCCGCTCTCACACTGCTTATTGCCCAAACAGTTGCACGAGCATACCTGAAAGAAAATAATGATTTTAGTGATCTCCTATACTAATATTATAAAGAGAAAAGATTTGTTTGTTTGTATTGAATAGGCTCCGAAACTACCGAACCGATTTGAAAAATTCTTTCACTGTTTGGAAGCTACACTATTCCCGAGTGACATAAGCTAAATTTTTGAAAAAAATTAGGGGTCCTTACTAAAAGTCCAATAATGTAACCCAAGGTGTAATAAAATTACCTAAAGTATTCTTTACATCGCGTGCCCTGCGAAAACTATTAATGATAGAATAAAATAATGTACTACGACTTTGTAGAAGACTATTATTTATAAAAAGTGTCGCGACAGCATATGTCTAACTATTGTAGTTATGCCGCAATAAGTGTTCTTTTATTTAAAAAAATAAAACAACGTCATATCTCGTCGAAATTTTTGTTAAAGTCCCGAGCGGAGCCGGAGCGGCTCAAAAATCAAAAACTTCACCAAATGTATAGATTACGACCGGACCTCAAACACGGACCCCGTGATGTAGTAATCAGGTTAAGTAAAAACTTGACTTAAAATGCTATTAATGCTGATGTCAATTTTAGGTTGAGACTTTGTTTATAGAAATTATTCTAAATAAGTTTGTTTTCAATCAGATTGGCTTGAAGTAAGGCTGGAAGATCTTAGAGAACCTGACTACAAAATAGTTTTGCTCTCAAAGTATGTACGTCACGTTAAGACGAAACCCAAAAAGGCAGTTTCGACGCGATTATAACAAAGCAGACTTTTAAAGCATAAATTAATTAATTTCGTTATATTATTATTTTTAATGACGATAACGCGAGCTACGAACTTTTTCTATAAAGTTATGAACACACTTTTATCTGCTTGGTGTCTATGTTTATATGTAACAGAATCCTTGAACGTCATTTTTAATGACTTATAATGTCCGATTGACTTGACAATTTTCACACGCATCTAGAACCGATAACAATACAGTAATTGTATAACATCGCGCTAAAAATGCCGCCCTGCCTATATTTGCCGTGAAGCAGTAATGCGTTTCGGTTTGAAAGGTGGGGCAGCCGTTGTAACTATACTGAGATCTTAGAACTTATATCTCAAGGTGGGTGGCGCATTTACGTTGTAGATGTCCATGGGCTCCAGTAACCACTTAACATCAGGTGGGCTGTGAGCTCGTCCACCCATCGAAGCAATAAAAAAGAAAAAAAGAAAAATAATATCCAAACCGGTACCAAACAGGAATAAAAGAAAATATATTATTACGCATAAACGTGTTTTTTTTTTACTTTTATAGACTAGGTCTGGACAACAAGGTCCCGAGTTCACTAGATGTTATGTAGTTCAATTAATACACTTTTATTAGCTTCAGACGTATGTACGTTAGTATGTAACGGAATCTTTGAACATGATTTTGACCTCCTTCAAAACGTCGGATTAACTCGAACGAAACTTATTAAAGATCGACGACAATTAATATTTAAAAAAATTGCAAAAAATAATAATAATTGAATATCAGCTAAAAAATAAAAATTAATCATAGTTTCAGAAAACTAACAAAATACGCTTTATATAAAATTCAACTAAAAAATAGAAAATAAATTTTAATAAATTTAAATTGAAAATAGTGTAAAATATATTTTATTGTAAAAAATAGCGTACTATACTGAACATAACCAGAATGTCCTTGAATTAATCTTGTCGTTTGTTGTGCGTTGCATGATTGTATCCAAAATAAACCGGATTGCGCGGGATCTTTCGGGTCGCACGCGACTTGTCAATCGCGGGAGTGAATTTTAATTTTGAGAATGAATGAATTAATCATTGCATCGGTGACTCTGACTACTGACTTGCGATAGCGTTTCGGTATATTCCCGGTACCTAGTATGTTGTTTGTACTTTTACTAAAATATTTTAAGTGACGATAATAAATCTTAAAAATAATAATTGTATAGTTACTTTTTTATAGCAATTAGCAATTAGACATGTGTAAGTAATGCGAGTGATATTACTCCGGTAATATTACTCTACGATGTAATGCAACATCACACATTACGCGAAGGAAACAAACATCACACTATCACCCACAGAACACTATTACTTCTAGCGAAGCTATCACCCAACATGTTTCTTTCTTTGTCGTGTAATGTTGCTTGATACACGAACGGAACCGAGCGAGCGAGNGAAACAAACATCACACTATCACCCACAGAACACTATTACTTCTAGCGAAGCTATCACCCAACATGTTTCTTTCTTTGTCGTGTAATGTTGCTTGATACACGAACGGAACCGAGCGAGCGAGACAGACCGATCTACGCAAAATAAATGAGCAAGCGACACGGAATTATTCCTAGTGATTTTGAACCGTATGCCCTGGCCGCTAGATACATTTTTATACCTATGGTACGTCTGAATTTTAATATAGGTATTTGTGTTTATATTTTTCATGCGGCCAGCCGGTAGTTCCCCGCAAGTAGTTACAAATTTTTTATTCGCAACTTTTGTAAAATCGCTAGTCGCTCGTAATTGTTTAGTAATATTTCATATTAATTTTTGTGTTTGAATTACTTAAGCACTTGTTTGAAGATAGTTTTATTATTTGTTTTAATGCGTGTTTAATAAGTGAAAGATAGAACGGCGTCTAAATGAAAGTACAGTCCTCCTTGGATGCACTTTGAGGATATCGCGCCGAAACAATGCATCTACTGCTCTCGTATATTAACATTATTGTCGAGCACAATTTGCAGTCTAAGTCGCCATATGAAATCCGTTCATCCCACAATAAATTATATTAAGTAAAAAATAAAATTATTATATTATTAAATAAGTCAATCTCTATCAAGTAATATAACAGCGTATTACAATACAAAGTTCATACTTTGTATTGTAATACACTACTGTAATGACACACCCGAATCATTACCTAAGTGATGTTCATACACATCACTTAGGTAATGATTCGGGTGTATAGATACAATGTATTCGTCGTCACAGTATCTATTGAACGCACCGAGTAATGTTAAGAGTGATGTGTAATGTTTTCGAGTAATATCACCTGTCTGTAAAAGTGATGTCATATCACATTACATTGGGAAGTGATGTTTTGCGCAAGTCTACTGTCAAGTAATATAACAGTATTACTTAAGTAATGATTCGGGTGTATAGATACAATGTATTCGTCACAATAACCAATGGAACGCACCGAGTAATGTTAAGAGTGATGTGTAATGTTTTCGAGTAATATCACCTGTCTGTAAAAGTGATGTCATATCACATTACATTGAGAAGTGATGTTTTGCGCAAGTCTATTAGCAATACAGATTACGAAAAAAATAAAAACTGTCCTTTTTGGAGTCTTACGCATAGTCCTTATTCTCGTTCTAACGTGAGAACGAGATCGATCGAGCAATCCTTCGGTCATTTTTATGTTAAATAGATGTGAGTTGTGACCGAAATGATTGAATCTTTATGACTCGATCACTATACGAATGGGTCACGATCGACCCGGGTCACGGAAAACGATTGACCAACACAGGTCTATTATTGACCTGTGTCATGATATACTCTTCTGAGGGCCGATCCCGGCGGCACTGCAATGCCGGGCCGACCCGTGACAGGAGTGGAGCGAGCCCCGAACTTCCCGTCATTTTACAAAAATCAGTTTAATATACTGGTCCCGCAATGCGGGAACTTTCAGATATTAAGCTGAAAAGAACAGATACTACACTTTGATCTTAGCCAAAAGGCCGAGAAGCGATACCTTTACAGAAATACTCGGGAAAGGTCATTCGAACGCGGCGCATCTCGTCATCGCGAGTTAGGAATAGAAAAGAAAACGAACAGCGACATCTAGCGGTACACTTTGTAAATACTATTAATATGGACATTTCGCATAAATTTTGGTTCATTTCATTATTATTGGTTTTATAATATAATAGGCCTTAACGAAAGAAGTGTTCATTAAGGCACTTTAAATATTAAGATTCATTTTGTTACTCTCCGGCTGATAAAGCTTTATATAAATGGATAGGTTCCAAAAAAATTATACGAAATTTAGTTTGGGGCTAAGCTAATTGAAAGTTTGCGAGAGGAAATCTTTATTTTTTGATATTTCGAAAATATAACAGATTGAGTATTCGAATCTCGTAGGTAAGTACCAATTTTTCTAATGAAATATTATGTACATATTTAACAAATATTTACGATTGATCTTCACGGTGAAGGAATAACATCGTGTAATAAAAATCAAACCCCTAAAAATTATAATTTCCGTAATTACTGGTCGTCTGGACGTCTTGTGAGTCCGTACGGGTAGGTACCACCACCCTTCCTTTTTCGGCCGTGAATCAGTAATGCGTTTCAGTTTGAAGGGTGGGGCAGCCGTTGTACTATACTGAGATTTTAGAAGTCATATCTCAAGGTGGGTGGCGGCATTAACGTTGTAGATGTCTATGGGCTCCGATAACCACTTAACATCAGGTGGGTCATGAGCTCGTCCACAAGAAGCATATACTAGTTCGAAAATGGTACCTGTCTTCGGGATTTGAACATCGTTATACACTACTCGATACGACATACACCAGTCTTAATATTGGTCACGGCGAAATATAAATAAAAAGAAAAAACTGAAGAAAATTCGAGGTACATACAACACAACACACCTACATACAACAGGTCGCGCAAATCACCTCCTCGAAATTTGATACCATCATGCGCACACACACACCCTCTTATATAATAAAAAAAAGAAAAGAAATTTACATAGAGGGGGTATGACGGCTTTTTCACTAAGTGACCTTTTCTATCAATCAACTTCTACCGTAAGACCCATTAAGTAGCTTCGTTGCAAAAAAACCCAGCAGGGCGTGGCGGCAGGAAAGTTGGATGAAAAAAAATTAAAAAAAACGGTGTAATGTTTTTTTTTATGCCCTTGTAGGCAGAGAGCATACGGCCCACCGGATGGTGAGTGGTTACCGTCGCCCATGGACTTCAGCATTGTCAGGAGCAGAGCCAAGCCGCTGCCTACCTCATAATACTCTCCACAAGACTCTTTTAAAGAAAGACATGTCATAGCGCTCGGGAAACACCGTGGAGAGGAGCTCATTCCATAGCCGGATGGTATGTGGCAAAAAATACCTCTGGAAACGCACTGTCGATAAACGCAGTGGTTCCAGATGATATGGATGAACTCTGCTCCGATGGCGAGAGGTGCCTTCGTCTCGAGCGTTCTGGAGTGCTTGAAAGCCAAAGTGGGTTTATCCTCAAATTGATAACTTACAGACGCCTGGTCGTCGTGTGAACGCTGCCGGGCCGCGATGCCGTGTCCCTCTATCGGTAGCAATGTTCTAGAACCTTCTTTGTCTTCGTCTCGAGCGTTCTCTTCGGCTTGCCTGTTCAATTAAATTAAATTATCTTTAGCCATCAAACTGNCGAGCGTTCTGGAGTGCTTGAAAGCCAAAGTGGGTTTATCCTCAAATTGATAACTTACAGACGCCTGGTCGTCGTGTGAACGCTGCCGGGCCGCGATGCCGTGTCCCTCTATCGGTAGCAATGTTCTAGAACCTTCTTTGTCTTCGTCTCGAGCGTTCTCTTCGGCTTGCCTGTTCAATTAAATTAAATTATCTTTAGCCATCAAACTGCTGATCCAATGACATTTTGAGAGCCTCAGTAGATTGCTTAGTTTACTAAATTTTTTTAAGAACAACCATAATACTTATCGGATATTAATGTAACTATTTAAACTAATTATCTCAGAAATTACTATTACTACGTCACTATATTCCACCAGATCAATAATACCATCATCATCATGTATAAAGCTGTTTGATAATTACATTATAGCACATTACCTCAACATACACGTATTTTCGTCGAAGTTTAGTTGTTTTTTTCTAACTACCTACATAGTGTATATTTAAGTTAGACAAAGAACAAGAAAACCACTACGGTGACGGTAACCATCTTATGGGTATAACTTAAAGCATAACAACCGAACCATAAAATATAAACTACTATACAACCCTTTGCCCAGCGTTTCAAACTCGAAATTCGTCAAGGTGGGAGATAGGGTTCTAAAAGTTGGTAGTTTCCTACAAACCCTACTATGAAAAGTTGGTAGATCTACCACCCATACTTTTCAAGTCTTTTAGAGACCCTCCAATAAGAATCTGGCATCCTTAATTTACTTTTCCATTGGATAAGACATATTTGAACTATTTTTATTAGAAATCCAATGATAAAACAGAATTACAGGCCGCTAATATTCTTCTTTTTCCCATAGTTGAGAATATTTTTGATTGTAATGCAATCGATCGTTTTCAATTTCACTTTCACTCATTTTGATAGTGTTCAATTGAAACGTTTTAAAAATTACAGGTTTGATTTGAACTTTTTGAAAACTTCAAAAGTTGGTAGATAAAGTGGTAGGTTTGATTTACGACACTAAAAGTTGGTAGATCTACCGAAAAGTTGGTAGAGTTGGCAACGCTGCCTTTGCCACAAGTGACATTATATCTTGTGATTGGTATTAAAATCTGTCAAATGTAAATATGTAGTCAAAAACTTTCAAAAGTAGAAGTAAGGAGGATTGCCTTTTATGTGTATTATCTATGGCCTTTTATAGGGGACAAGTTATTGTTGGAAGATTCACCGAAATAGTTAGCGTTAGTGTAGGAAATGTAAATGATGTGAATATAGCAATGTTAAACAGAATGAAGTGCGCTTGTTTGAATAATTTAGTTTAATATATTTTTCGTGACCTAATTAAGTTTTTTTTTACTAATTAAGTTTTTTTTTCATACCAATGCTGATAGCCTTAAGGGGTTATTTCAGTTTTGCCCTAACATGTAGGTGAGCTTACGGGGCTCAAACCGGAGGGTTGCTAACACTGGCCCTAGCAAGAGCAGTGCTTCGTAGAATCTACCACCGGATCGGAAACGCGACCCACTGAGAAGATCCGGCGAGAAACTCAGTGGGCTTAATTAAGTAACCTACTCTAATAGTTTATGGCGCTGTTTTTTAAATCTTTCCGCTTGATGGCGCCACCTTAATTGGCTCCCTTTTAGCGAACACTTTTTAACACACTGAGTTGATCCTCCTTACCTCTATTCTCCATATCAAAAAAAAAATTGAGAGGAAATGAGGGATGGGATACTTTTTTATTCTTTTTTTTATTGCTTTGATGGGTGGACGAGCTCAGAGCCCACCTGGTGTTAAGTGGTTACTGGAGCCCATAGACATCTATAACGTAAATGCGCCACCCACCTTGAGATATAAGTTCTAAGATCTCAGTATAGTTATAGTTTAGATTGTTTTGTTATTTTCTGGTGGCCTGTTCCCGGTCCTAAGCCCGGATGACAAAAGAGGTGGGTTGAGTTGAAATTCGACCTTTCCAATGTAAAACAGTCAATGTCGAATGTCTGGCGGCGGTTAACTAGCCGGACCCAAATATGGCTGAACTAAATCTCTTCCAAGAGCACTGCTGTGGAAAAAAGCGGGACCCCACCAGGTGTGTTTTCCCAAGAAAGTCTCATGAGACCACGACCATCAGCATTGGGGATTATCGAGGCAAGGAGGAGGTGGCCTTCAAGTTAAGAGGGGAATAAGTTAATAGCCCAAAAAAATCGATTAGGGCCCGCTGTGACTTTAACCGAGTCACATGCAGCCATAACTCTTGCCTTTCCATACAAACCATTGGTAGTCATCCTGTTTCGGCTTCGATAACGGTTCCAATACAGGCAGGGTACTTACATGGTCATGAATCTGAGAACGAGTAAGTTGATGCTGGCGGCGACAACGGCCAGCCCGAACAATATGAAGACGAGACTCAAGGCCACATATCCGGGTTTACTGGTCAAGGCTTGATCGTTCTGGGAAAACAGAAATATAATAATATATATAAATATATGTAGTAATGTAGATGCGGGTTAAAAGTATTATTGGTAAACGATTTATGTAAACTGTAGATTTACAGTTAATTAATTCTAATTTATTTAAAACTTGACCAAAAAAACATGTTTTTACTTTATTGTTTTTGTTTGTTGTTAATCGATTTGCTTGCACATCCCTATCCGGTGAAGCAGGAAACGATGTCAATAGCTGCTGTTCTTGTTCTTCTTTTTATAAATATGGCTTTTTTGTGAAGATTTTATGGCCTGGTATCGAGACCTTTAAGCCAAGTTTTATATCTCTTTATTCTGTTATAATATTAAAAATATGTGAAGCGAAATAAGATGACGTACAGTAATTTGAGATTAATCAAATGGGATTATATTAAAGGAAAGGAAAAGTTTATTGGCTGTGGTTTGATTCGTTCATTGGAGCGGAGTAAACTTAATTGAAGTTCAATTAAAAACATCGAATTGTTGATGCTAATACAAAAAATAGTCCTTTAATTAGAAAGGTAAATGTCGCTTAAACCAAACAGCTTTTCACTCCGCCATGTGTACATGTAGATATAGGTACAGCAGAGCGTATTCTGATCTCTATCAGTCATTTATTGACGTTTAAGTTTCTTTTCACACTAGGTTTTAAATAATTATAAATTATTCAAATACGTAATTCCTCACTTGCAGAGCGACGTAGTCTCCGAAGCCGATGGTGGTCAGCGTCACGAAGCAGTAATAGAAACTATCGAAGTAGCTCCAGCCTTCGTACCGAGAGAATACGGCGGCTCCTAAACAAAACACGTAAAAAACAACTTTATCCATACTTTCTGTGCTTTTTTATTGCTTAGATGGGTGGGCGAGCTCACAGCCCACCTGGTGTTAAGTGCGCCACCCACCTTGAGATATAAATTCTAAGGTCTCAAGTATAGTTACAACGGCTTCCCCACCTTTCAAACCGAAACACAATTACGGCTTCACGGCAGAAATAGGCGGGGCGGTGGTACCTACCCGTGCGGAATGGATTTTTTACTACCCACATATAAGGAATACCTGCCTGTAGTTATTATGATTGACGAGAGCATTCCAGTAGCAAACATCAGATTCATTTCGGTTGCTTCAGTGGTATTACAACGCAGATAACATTTCGCTCTACGAATCACAACTGAAGCGAACTTATTTAACCGTTCCCCGATACTCTGGAACATCACCAGCCCTAGGGGTATGCCCACCTGTGAAGGAAGAAACAAACGAATATCAGTTCAGAATATTATTTGTTATTTTTATCATGCAATAAAAGGTTGACATCTACAGTAAAGGAATAACAAGGTCCTGCAATAAAGCAATTGTAGTAAAATAAAATTGATTCCTAATTGAACCTAATTCCAATAGGTTTTTTTTTTATTGCTTAGATGGATGGACCAGCTCACAGCCCACATTAGAAAAAATAGTACCCGCATGCGGGATTTGAACACCGGTGCATCGCTTCATACGAATGCACCGGACGGCTTATCCTTTAGGCCACGACAACTTAAATTAACAAAATTTAACAAAGTGGAGAATTAACAAGAATTAACAAAGTGGAGCTGCAATAATAACAATGCCGCCAACACCACAGTCGTGTCACTGTCGTGCGCAAGACAGTGGCTAAATTCTGGTCACACCACAGTGGTGTCAAACGAATATTTTTTTACGAAACATGTAGACAGAAAAGTGATAATATGTAATTACAGCTTTTTCTTAAATTGTTAGAATACGGGCGATCAAATAAGTAATCAGTATATAAGTAACAAGGATTTGTGATATAATTAAGCCCACTGAGTTTCTCGCCGGATCTTCTGAAAGGGTCGCGTTTCGGATCCGGTGGTAAATTCTGCAGAGCACTGTTCTTGCTAGGGCCAGTGTTAGCAACACTCCCGGTTAGAGCCCCGTGAGCTCACCTACATGTCAAGGAGAAGCTGAAATAGCCTCTCAAGGCTATCAGCATAGGTAGAGAGAAAAATAATAATTTAAAGTAATTTTAAGGGCAGCAACTTAGCTGTGCCCTTGGCATTTCTTTTGTCTATAAGCACCAATGACAATTCACCATCAGGCAATAAAAAAAACTAAAGATTTGCATTTAAGCTCTCATAAATCTACAATTGTTTACTAGAGCCCATAGCTACTAAATTATGAATATTCCTTTTAGTCTGTGTGGTTAGTGATTCTGACTATAATACCAAACAGTCCAGGTTCACATGGTTGCAGTCACTATCTATGTCAAAAATATGTTGGACTGTAATTGTTCTTGTCTTGCATGTTACCCTTACATTAGAAAAGAGTACTAGATGTTAAAATTGAATGTTGTTTTGAGATGAGATCAAAATATCAATTGAAGCTCATCTTTAAAAGACCAACTATTAATTAGCATTCATTTATATTGGAAAAATGTTTTAACTTTATATCTGAAATCTTACCATGGCATAGGCCATACAAAAAGCCTTTCCTCCTACAGTAACAGGTGTGGAATGTCCATAGCCAATCATAGCTAAAACGACAGTGGCAAAATAGAATGCTCCTGCGAACTTCCACTGTGGACCAGCTTTGTGGGGCTTATTCTCTATCAATACTATTTCTATCACATGGTAGTCTTCAGCACTTATATTATATTTGCGTAATAAGCCATTTTTCATGTCTGGAATGGCATACAAAAAATTATAGCAGAAACATGTAATTGAAATAAAGAAAACTGAAATACATACATACATTGTTACTATTAGTGCAATATTGACAATTATGGCCCCAAACTGTGTGCCCCAGAATATTACAACTTTATGAGTAGAATAATCATTCTAATGATATTCTTTGACTTCATTTTTCAAGGTGGGCAGTTTTTTGGTGTGTCTATGGGTTCCAGTGGCAAAGACAAATGGCGATTTAACAATCAACCAAACAACCTGGCACACTATCTTCTGCAAAGAAGTTGCAAACTATACATCAAGCCGTACTCAACTCTTAGTTTTTTTTTATTGCTTAGATGGGTGGACGAGCTCACAGCCCACCTGGTGTTAAATGGTTACTGGAGCCCATAGACATCTACAATGTAAATGCGCCACCCACCTTGAGATATAAGCTCTAAGGTCTCAGTTTAGTCAAACCGAAACACATTACTGCTTCACGGCAGAAATAGGCGGGGTGGTGGTACCTACCCGTGCGGACTCACAAGTCCTATCACCTACCACCTACCACCTACCACCAGTAAAATCAAATTTTTTAAAATATAAATATTGATCTTTGTTTATAGACTTCACAATTGCACAATTAACTTTTAAATCCAGTCTTTTGCATCAGCTTATCTGCTTGTAGTGTAAAAATTGATTGCAGATTAACACATATAAACAAATATAACAGTTATATAACAGACAGATATAAAAGTTATCATTATTATATTTTTTTAAACATGTTACTTTCAATAGTAAATTAACATTTCAAATGCCAGTAACAAAACAAAAGAGAAAAATGTTATGCATTAAGTAAATCTAAATCTCGTGGTGTCAGTTTCTAATCCTATTCAAATCATTGGACTTAAAATAACATACTTAAATGTGTGAGTGCAGGATTTTACCTGACAGCACCTCTAATCTTTTACTTTCGGTGTCTGACTCCAATGCATCAAAGACCGCTGCTCCGATGAGAAGATACGTAAAAGTGCAAACCACAAGTGACAATGTTCGTACATTCTGCCGCTTCATGCTACAAAAAAAAATGTTTACATTTTATAGTGCAAGGATATGTATGTCAGTGCATTTTATTCAAGATGTTTTCTTGCCTGTAAGTATTTATAGCATTATTAAATCTTATCGTATATTTGTTACAAATATACCTATTTTGTAATTAACTTGATATAGGTCTGATATCTATATTAATTTAAAAATCTACAGTGGTTTTTACGGATGTTCCGTTATAACTACTGAACCATGCGTCCGATTGACTTGAAACTTGGTATCCATGTAGAAAATACATGTACTTAATGGATAGGCTAATATTTTTAAGAGTTTTGGACTCCCTATAATAATGACAATAAATAATAATGTTAATTTTAAATGCCCAGCGAAGCGGGCGTACGGCTATTTTTTTTTCTAAAATGAAAGATAAGAGTTGTTGATACCATAAATAAACAACCAGGGGGGTGCAACTCCCATACAAAGGAAAAGAACATTCAACTAGCGTCATCTTTAGGAACCGGCGAGGTCATTTTTGAAACGTTTTGGCCTTAATGAACTAATAAACTCACTAGATGGCAGATACGAGTTCTGACTCAATAAAAAAGGTTAGCGTACTTTGAAGCAGTGCTTCCACTTTTAGGGAATTCTCTCTTTTTTAGGGNCATTGGCAGTCACAAAACTCTTCGGAACGACATCTTAGATAAATAACAGGTTAACTATTAACCTTTATTTAATGCAGGTTTTGAACCGTATTCTTTGAAGGAGACGATTATATTCAAATAAATCTGTATTGACATATCAATAAAAATTTTTTGTCCAAATGTACAGATTGCCGCCTTTGATAATAGACGACTCATGTATGTAAGTCATAGATTATACACTTAATATATTCGATGTAAGTGCATTTTATTCAAGATGTTTTTCTTGCCTGTATAAAGTATTTATACATAAATCTACAGTGGTTTTTACTTATGTTCCGTTATAACTACTGGACCATGCGTCCGATTGACTTGAAACTTGGTATTCATGTAGAAAATACATGTACTTAATGGATAGGCTAATATTTTTAAGAGTTTTAGACTCCCTAATAATAATGACAATAAATAATAATGTTAATTTTCAATGAATGATACAGTTGTTGATACCATAAATAAACAGCGCCTACTCATAAACAACATTAAATTAATGTAAGCCAATTAGCTTAAAAAAAGTACTGATCAGATCACAAACTTGCCTCTTATTTTAATTTAAAATTACTCGTTTTAGTAAAGTGGTCTCAATTAATATTGTATTTATTCTATGGTCCCACTCCCACCATCAGTGTGATCAGATTTTATTTGACGAATCTACTGCTTGTGGAGGTTAAAATCTACTAAATTCTACCAAAAGAGAACGAAAAATACTCAAAATCTATTATACTTTTTTTGCTGTCGTGTTACAATGTAAAAACATGAATCTTCTTGATTAAATAATAAAATAATAAAAAGAAACCACAATTAATTAAAGAGACCAATGTTCTTTTATTTAAATTAAATTCTAAATAAAAATATAATTAAAAAATTAAAATAATAAAATGAAACTTTAACTTATAATTCTTCTCTTTATGTTGGGTAACATTTTCATAAAGTTGTTTTGAGTCCATTAACTTGATAATAGTTCTGTCAGGATTAAATGTGCGACATCAACTGTCGTAGCCCCTCTTTTCCTTGCATGATTGCAGCAACATTCTTATTATTAAATCGATTTCGATCTTGATTTTTAATCCTATTAATATCAAAAATTATTCTTTCTACTTTGGCGTTTGACCAAGGTAGTATCGTCATTTGCTTTACAAATCGGGACAAATTGCCATACCTTGGTTTGCTATTCGCATCACAGATTTGGCTGCATGCACTCCAAAATTTATCCACCATAAAAGTTTCAGACATTGAACTAGAAGTTGACAATAAATTAGACACGGAAACATCTAATTTTAATTCCGTATATTCTTTGTCAACAATTTGCATGTTTTCTGTTGCAACTACAAGGATATCGTGATATCGTGATATCCTTGTGTATAATTATGTTTCATTTTATGCTCGATTATAAAAATTCTCAATGAAGGAATTCCCACTGGTCTATCATACTATGCTCAAGGCACGAATGATAAAGAAAAGAATGAAAATTAAATAGTTACAATCCATTCGATGAAAGGGGGAATATCCCAAATTTGTCCGTTATGCCGAAAAGCGTGAATTCTACTAAAATATACCAAATAATTTTTACATACTAAATTCTGTTGCCAGTACCTCAAAATGTACCAAAAAAGTAGAAATCTACTAAATCTGGTCACGCTGCCACCCATGCACTTTTTTTTATTTTTAGTGATATTGTGACCAGGTAACTAAGACTTTTAGGTCAAGTCTAATTTTAATTTTAATGTAACCTTTTTTGTTTGAAAAATGATTTAATGAAATGAAATGAAATGAGATTGTTGGAGTTTGAATATAAATGTAATGGCAGGCAACACTTGACACATGATTACAGATTTCGAATATTAGAATTATTTTAAATGTTTAAAAAACAGATGATTGTATTTTCGTAAGAAAAAGTCAGGACTTCTCATCTAGACATGGTCAAAGAAACATGTAAGAGTTTTATAAAAATATATAGATAATAATTTTATAATGGTGTAACAATGTTCAAACTATCTGCAATATAATTATAATGAAGCAGTGTGTTTTTAAATAGCTCCTCATCACCTACAGAACCCAATCCCCTCAAAATTTCACCGTCCAACAGAGATGATATGAAATTAAATTTAATCTCAGTAAAATGGTGGTAATTTATTGCGGGGATGCGCGATATATCGGCCATCAGAGTCTTTCTCGGAGCGTGGTGCAAGAGAGACGATCTAAACTTGTGTCAGAAGTGGAGAACTCTCTGGGGCGAGTCTCCGAGTGGGGTGAATCGAACTTAGTTCAATTCAACCCGTTGAAGACACAAGTTTGCGCGTTCACTGCGAAGAAGGACCCCTTTGTCATGGCGCCGCAATTCCAAGGAGTATCCCTGCAACCTTCCGCGAGTATCGGGATACTTGGGGTCGACATTTCGAGTGATGTCCAATTTCGGAGTCATTTGGAAGGCAAAGCCAAGTTGGCGTCAAAAATGCTGGGAGTCCTCAACAGAGCGAAGCGGTATTTCACGCCTGGACAAAGACTTTTGCTTTATAAAAGTTACCAGGTCATAAAATCCCATAAAAAATATATATACCGTAAAATGGGGCGATTAGGGATTGAGAGGCGAATCGGGAAAAAACCGGGAAAATCTTTCGACACTCAAGATTAGTTTTATATTCGTTGCAAAATCTTCCATTTTTTGTAGTTTAATAGTAGAATGTTGAAACTTTACAAACAACTCTGAATATGCATGATAATAGCTGCTAACTTATAAAAAATCGCGTTTCAAATTAACTTTCTGTAGTGGTAATTATTTTAGTGCTAGAAACTTTGCTCTCTTTTATTTATTTGATAATAATAGAAGACGACTGTGATTTATAAACGTTATTTAGTGTTTGAACCATCATGTATATTAAAGGTATGTCTCAGTTGTTATTGGTTTTAATGTATTTGATAAAATAAAAATACATGTAAAAATCTGTTGTTTTTGGGGATATTGGGGACGTCTTAGGTACAAATAACAACGAAAAAGGGATCAATTGGGATGAAAATACGTGAAATGGAAACGACTTAAGTATAAATAGGTACAGGTTTCTAGGGTTGTCTATGTAGTTATAACAATAGTTTTTAAATTGTTGGTAAACATCTGGTTTATTCATGATGTTTTTGTCTAGAACTTTTATTCAAAATTATCAATGTCTTATTTTATTGTTTGGTAAATATTTATATTATCAGTTACGTATTGTTTTCTATTTTTAGATATGCCTCGCGTGTACGTATCAAAGAGTGCAAAGCCTTATAAGAGATATTATCCCTTAATATTAAAAACAGCAATTGGGAAATTGCCTAATTGGGAATAAGTCTTTAGTTGAAATAGCTAAGCAATTTAATATAAGTAAGTCGATTTTGCACAGACATGTAATAAGAACAATGAAATCTCAAGGTGGACAAAAATGTCTAAGTAATACGTATTGATTATCACTTTGTTGGTGCAACTAAATAAATAAATTAATTAAAACCAAGTAGTGCCAACTCTAGCAAATTTCTCATTTCGTCCCAATTAACCGCAATTTCCGGGTAAATAGGGATTACACCTATTTTTGCTTTTTTTGCTTAAACTGGAATGCTAGTTGCATTGTTTTAAATTGGACAACAAAGATGCCCCAAGACTCAATCATTTTGATCCTGATATAGCATTATATACATCAACAACTACCTTAAAATTGGTCATAAAGTTGGAATTTGTCCCTAATCGCCCCATTTTACCGGTATTTCAAAGTCAAACGTGGTCAAACGTCAAAGGTTTGTCGGCGAGAAAAAAATTGAAATTTCGTTGAAATTTTTGATTGTCTCATTAATTAAAATAAATAAATAATATTTTTATTTTAGATCCAAATATTCAATAATGCGGGTATCTTGCAATAGATCTAACCCGCCTTTAGGTAATACTACTATATTTAGACAAAATTGTCGCACGTTGCTTTCGCGGCCACGGGGCTTATTAAAATAGCTATTTTTATTAATTTCAGGTGGTTTGATGGCTACGGAGTTTTACAGATCGTCGGCAAAAGAAATAAACATCGTTTGGGAGAACGACTCAGTTATTATTCTTCCAAATTCCACCAAACCAGTGCCATTTGGGACTAGCAATGATTTGATTAGAATTCTTGAAAATGCCTTTAACAAGTCTGTGAGTCCACTTGAGAAAGTCACAATGAATCATTGGTTGTCTTTCAGTCTTATATTGGAAGATGAAATACCCAAGTCTGTTGAGTATTTAGACAAAACACTAGGGCCACTAACCTATTTGGTTGGTGAAACTTTATCTGTATCAGACTTTGCGGTCTTCAGTGTTCTTTATGGTTAGTTATCAAACGTCATTATTGTTGACAATCTTAAGTACAGCCTAATAGCAATTTGAAATAAATATAAGTATTGATTTTTTTTATATAATTGCAGTATCAACTAAATTCAAAGAAATTTCAAAATTGATTCCTTCTCAAAACATAAGACGCTGGATGAAATTGGTAGAAGCTCAACCGCAAGTCCAAACAGTTATAAAGGCTCTGCCGTCTGATGCCCTTGACAAACTTACCAAAGTTTCCTCCAGGTAAAACTATAAAATAATAAACATTTAATTAATTTAACTGTCTAAGTAACAAAATAGGTGCCATCTAGTGCCATAATATCCTGTGAGGTCCCCAAGTAATTTTCTGAGGTGACTTCTACAAATCCCAAAGCACAAGTTATTGTAGCCCAAAGGACAAGATGTCCAGTGCACTTCTATCAAGTAATAGTTCTATGCAATTGTTCAAATCATGGTGTTTATCTTTTAGGCCACATCTTATAAATGAGCTTCTTGACGTAAGATGATTATTAGAGATAGCAAAAACATTATTATTTTTTATTATAGGAAATCACCACCAACAAATGCTGAATCAGGAGGTAGACAACAGGAAGGAAAGTTCATTGAACTCCCTCATGCTGAAATGGGAAAAGTTGTTGTAAGATTTCCACCTGAAGCTTCAGGGTGAGTGATGATTCTGAAGCTTAATTTTGTTAATTTGATAATTTTGATGTTCTGGAACATGTTCTACCATCAGTATACAATATTAGGTATATTTTATTTTAGGGACTAGAATCCAATTACTTGTATAATTAAGGATATCTTCATTAATTGTAAAAATTGATGTCTAAAGATAAAATACTTGTTTTTAGACATCATCCTGCTCTAAACTATTTTTATGTATACAGATATCTTCATATTGGTCATGCAAAAGCAGCTCTTCTTAATCAATATTACCAGCAAGCCTTTCATGGCAAATTGGTCATGAGATTTGATGACACAAATCCAGCTAAAGAAAATGCAGATTTTGAAAAGGTAAGCCACTGATAGCATCACATGGAACTAATGTAGTTCTAATATGGAACTAATATGGGCTTTAGTATTTTAGGTGATTTATTTCTCAATTTTTAGATAAATGTCTTCTAAATGCGCTTATATTTCATTAATTAGATGAGATATTATGTGACTTCAAAAAGACTTATAGAGAAGATATATCAGTCTGCAAGCTGTAGAAAGGCAAGAATTAAGGGATATGTGAAAAATTTGTTTGCGTGTAAATTTAATGGTAAATGGTGGGATCGTTTAGTAAGATCAACACTCTTCACCACCCTATTGTCCCAAAACATAGGATAAAGACTTATTTATTAAATGGTTCACCACAAAAAATACTACAAGAAATCTTCCCTTATCCTTATTTTTCAGGTGATTTTAGAGGATGTAGCAATGCTCGAAATAAAACCAGATATGTTCACACACACGTCCCAATACTTTGATTTAATGATGGAGTATTGTGAGAAACTCATCCGGGAAAACAAAGCTTTTGTGGATGATACTCCTGCTGAACAAATGAAAACCGAGAGAGAACAGAAAATTGAAAGCAAAAATAGAAACAATTGTAAGAATGCTAAACCATCCATTCTTTTAAAAATAAAATTTTATATTATCTTCTCCCTATTAACATTTATACCACATCCATAATCCATAAGGATGATTTGATGATTATTGAATTCATATGTTTCATTTCTTATGAATCAAAATAAGTAGACCAAATTGAAATGCAATAAAGATCAAAATACATTCTAACTATATTATATTCTTGGCATACAGCCGTAGAAAGGAATCTTCAACTGTGGGAAGAGATGAAGAAAGGCAGTAATATTGGTGTCCAATGTTGTATACGAGCTAAAATAGACATGCAGTCAGCAAATGGTTGCCTGCGTGATCCCACCATTTACAGGTGCAAGCCTGAAGAACACCCAAGAACTGGCACACAATATAAGTGAGTACATATCGATGCTTGAAAGGCAAACGTGACTAAGCGACAATAACTGATTTGTACATAAATGATAGGCAATAACCATTTCAATCCTACAGCTAGTTTCGTTAAAATAGAATTTTTTTCAGGTATTTCAACTTTAAATTAGTCTACTGTAAAGTTCACGCATTGTCGCTTAGTCACGTTTGCCTTTCGAGCGTCGATATGTAAATATGAACCTTCGTTTTCAGATTAAGAAAAAAGAGATAGATTTGCAACATACTAGAACTGTTTTTAAGATATAGACACTTGCCTCTTAATTATTTGAAAATTAGTCTTATATTCCGCGTATGCGCGCCCTAGTGGGAATTGTAATTCTTGCCACACTAGTTTTAACTAGTTGCCACACTAGAATTTATGTTTCAGTTTCCACTCTGGTATGAGCTCGTCCAGAGCCCAAAAGCTTATTGCCCTCTTATGTATGTACTTGTTCGATTTTTTCCTGTTTAGTGTATCGCTGCTTATTTTCAAAGAAATATGATTTGATAGTAATTATAATTTCATTTTACAGAGTTTATCCGACCTACGACTTCGCGTGTCCAATCGTGGATTCCATAGAAGGGGTAACTCACGTCCTGCGAACGATGGAGTATCACGATCGAGACCCGCAGTTCTACTGGTTCATAGAGGCACTTGGTATTAGAAAACCTTATATTTGGGAGTATAGTAGGTGAGGCTTAGATTACTTCTTTAAATAGCAAAAAAGAGTTTGGTCTTATTGACGTGACAACGTCTTATAATTCGATGAGCCGGCTGCACGCACGAAAAAACATGACTCATGCGGCGTTACCTCGCTCTGAGGCGATGTGAGCGATGTATCCGCGTGGACAGCTGCTATACAATAATACATTTACATGTTTTCGTCAAGTATGAAGTTCAGTGAAAAGTGAATGTGGTGTCAATTGTTTATAGCAACGATAATTGCGATAATTGAAAAATGAAACCATTCCATCAGTATTTTCTTATGACGTTGTCACGTTCAACTATCGTCAGTAAACCGACTTTACAGACAACCGTTTTTTTTTTGTATTCAGTTGTTTATTATAGCGGTAGTTATTTATTATAGCTAATGCTGTTCTGTACCCTTTACTTTTTTTTCATTAGCTAATCCCTGTTTTAGCTTGGGACGGCGGGATGGATGTAATGTGCTCTGCGTCAAACCTATCCCTCCGGCTCAATAGCCCCGACTGGGCTCCGGCCCGGTCCGAGGTAGGGTGCTCACAACCGAGCGGCAGGAGTTTTTAGTGAGGTTCAACTCCCACATACGGGATCCGGCGATTTTTTTCCTGTGGAAAATAATATCCCTGTTTTAGTTACAAGACAAATTAGAGTGAGCCGCCATTTCTGTAGGGAACTAAGGAAAATCTTCCACTGTATATGTGCGATTCACATTTTGTTACATTAAATCCTGTTTAATTTAAATAGAGGATACATGGTCTTATTTCAGATTGAGTATGACAAACACTGTACTGTCGAAAAGGAAACTGACTTGGTTTGTGGAACAAGGACTTGTAGATGGATGGTAAGTTCGTATCAAATTACCGAATCATATTAAAGTAGTTTTATACTAATATTTTCATGAATATTGTTTTATAGATGATAGTTTTTCCACGATATTTTAATTAAAACATTGTAATCATTAGGTTCAATCATGTCGTTTGTACTGCAAAAAACTAAATTATATACAGCTAGTTTACTGTATCTGTCCGCTTCGCTGGGCATTTGAAATTAACATTATTATTTCTCACCCCCACAAAGATTCTCATAATTAACGCCTCCACAACCGGTGTAGGCAGTCCAACACTAATATTAGCCTATCCATTAAGTACATTTATTTTCTACGTCGATACCAAGTTTCAAGTCAATCGGATGCATGGTTCAGTTATTACGGAACATCCGTAAAAATCACTGTAGATTTATGAATAACATATATTTTGTGCAGGGATGACCCTCGTATGCCAACAGTACGTGGAGTGCTGCGACGCGGCATGACTGTGGAAGCGCTACGTCAGTTTATTCACGCTCAAGGCTCCAGCAGGTCCGTGGTGTTCATGGAATGGGATAAAATTTGGGCAATCAATAAGAAGGTGTGTGAAATTAACTTTGAAGTACTGCATACTTACAAATACTTTCGAAAGAATATTTTTGGTAATGAGCGATCAGAGTAAGCTTTTTTTTAATTCGGGTTAATTTCTCAAATATTGCTGAACTCAATTTAGTGTTACGTGGGACGTCATTTGGGGCCAATATAAAAACGATCAGTTGTGATGTTAGGAATTGTGATTTATTTATTTATTACACTTCATGTAAAATTTACATTGGCGGACTTAATGCCTAAGGTATTCTCTACCAGTCAACCAAAGGTAGTACAGAGAAAATAGTGGTAGGTGCAAATGTATATTAAATTACAAATACATACACAAATATATATATATATATATGTATATACTATTAGTTAACTAGCCTTTTAATTCACTAGTGTTACCTCACTGCTCCAAATTGGACTATCAGCACGGTCATATCAAGTTTTGGGTTTTCATTTTATAATATAATACATTTTGCCCTTGAAAACTTTTATTAACATAAATGTAGTTTTGTTGATATCGTTAACCTAACTGAGGAGAAGAGATATTGTTATATCTATTTATCTAAAGATCTGCACATTTTAGTATGTAAAATATAATGTGTAAGTCATATGTTAGTGTGTATGTAAAAATTATAAAGATACTTGTGGGATATGAACTGCCCTATAATAAAAGAAAAAACTGCAAGAATGAGCAGGCCATCCAGAGTATCACAGTAGATGGTATATAGTGGAAGCAACAGTCTTTCTTGCATATGAACTTACATGAGAACTACGACCATTATTCTAGTATCTCTATCAAGTCTGGTACATGGCCGCTTTTGTGGGCTCTAGTAGTATTATATTAAACAGCTGTCTCGTCTGCCTCCGCACATCATCATCATCAGCCTTTATCTGCCCACTGCTGAACATAGGCCTTCCCCAATGCCTTCACATAATGCGGTCCTCCGCCTTCCGCATCCAACGACTCTCTGCCGTGCGCACTAAGTCGTCGATACACCTGGTTGGAGGACGACCCACGCTCCTGGTACCCATCTGTGGTCTCCATTCGAGGACTCCATTCGAGGACTTTCCTCCCCCGTGCAATAACAGTAAATAGCAGGGCAAACTTTAATGCAACAAATGATTCCAGGTCATAGATCCGGTGGCTCCTCGCTACACAGCATTAGAAACGAACCCTGTTCCTGTGAATCTCAAGGGTGTCACGAGCGATAGCAGCTTAACTGTACCCCTGCATCCTAAAAATCCAGATGTTGGTACAAAAACTATATGGGTGGCTCCCAGATTACTAATAGACCAGGCCGATGCGAAGACCTTGAAAGAAGGAGAAAACGCCACGTTTATTAACTATGGCAATGTTACCATCGATAAGATTCACAGGTAAATCATATTTCAGTTTTTGCAACCCAATTATATTTCTTTACATAGAGACGAATTCAAAGTCTCAGTTTTTACAGTACAATGGCCGCCCCGCCTTTCAAACCGAAACGCATTACTGCTTCACGGCAGAAATAGACAGAATTGTGGTACCTACCCGTGCGGACTCACAAGACGTCCTCTAGCAATATAAATGTTTTGAATTCTATTTTGCGTGTGGTTGAGTTTAATGAAAGGCCAAAGGCTACAAAATATCCCATACATAATTATTTACCCTTTCTAACTTTATCCGAAATTTCAGATCAAAGGATGGTACAGTAACAAGTATAGATGGAACACCGAATCTCGATAATAAAGACTACAAAAAGACCGTCAAGTTGACTTGGCTCGCTGAGAGCAAACAATCACCAATGGTCGAGACCTATTGTGTTTACTTCGATCATATCATATCTAAAGCAGTGCTGGGCAAAGATGAGGACTTCAAGCAGTATATCGGCCATCAGACTAGGGTGAGTGAAAACACCTAGGGCGTGTGTNTAGATGGAACACCGAATCTCGATAATAAAGACTACAAAAAGACCGTCAAGTTGACTTGGCTCGCTGAGAGCAAACAATCACCAATGGTCGAGACCTATTGTGTTTACTTCGATCATATCATATCTAAAGCAGTGCTGGGCAAAGATGAGGACTTCAAGCAGTATATCGGCCATCAGACTAGGGTGAGTGAAAACACCTAGGGCGTGTGTTTGATCAGTAAAACTAAAATAGTTTATGTTAATCTAAACTATTATTAGTAAAATGTGAATAGGCGTTTACGAGTATGGATAGAGTGCAGTGATGGATTTATGGCTAGGCAGGGGCCTCACAGGCTGTGAGTTGACGTGACATGATTTGACGGGTGGAAAAATTTTGGAAATGCCAAAATTTCAGAGACGCACACAGACAGTCTCCTTTGAAAATGAGTTCAAATTTATTTTTACTGGACGATGACCGAGCTTCGCTCGGTATTTTTATTTTATTTTTGATAAATTTTGTTTTTTAGAAATTATATTTAAATACGAATTACATATTGATAAAGTGATGAAATATTACAAGATCGTTTAGGCATTTTTAAGTGAACACGTGAGTTGTAAGACACAAATAATATAAATAAACAATTCATTTTCTTGGTCTAACCTTAAACCAAACACTCATTGGCTTCGGGTGGTTTAACAATGTCATCGGCTGAAATAGCTTTAGTGTTATTGTGTCTTTAAAGCAGTTAGTTGCTCTCAATTATGAAAAATAGCATTATTATTCGCCAATAGATGTCGGGAAGAGTCATAAAGTTGATTATCGATAAAATTGATCATTGAAAACACGAATAAAACAACATTTTCTGAAAATAAATCGTAGCTAGATCGATTTATCGCCCCCGAAATACCCTGTATACTACATTTTATAAAAATTGTTGGAGCCGTTTCTGAGATTCTATATACAAGAATTGCTCGTTTAGAGGTATAAGATGAATTGATTGACTGCAAAAATAAAAATAAAAAATTAACAAAGATACAAAATACGAAATAAACACAAATATGAGTTCATCCATGCATCTAAGCAATAAATAAAAAAGTATATTTAATTCGTTTCTAATTTTCAACAGTGGGAAATTCCGATGGTCGGCGAGCCGGAGCTGGCCAACGCGAAGGTTGGGGACATAGTGCAGCTGCAGCGGCGCGGGTTCTTCCGCGTGGACGTGGCCAGCGCGCCCCCCTCCCCGCACACCAGCCGCCCCGCCCCGCTGCTGCTGTTCCACGTTCCCGACGGACACACTAAAGAAATGCCCGGACAGGTGAGCTCCTTCATCCGCTACATTGCTACTATACTATTGTTCCCCGTTAGACGAAATTCGACTATAATGAATTGAAATTATAAGCTTGTACACTATTATGATTCTATTGCCAAAGACTATTTATTATACTTCTTTAATCACAGATTTCGCCAAGACTACACTTTAAACAAATCTATATATTATAATACGTGAAGCAAAAACTTTGTACCCCGTTTTTACGAAAATGGCGCAGACGGAGGAGTATGAAATTTCCCACACTTATAGAGAATATAGAGAAGAAGTGCAAAAGGCTAATTTTTTTTTTAATTATGCATTAAAAATACATTAAATCAATAAAGAAAATTGTTTATCTTTCTTGGCGAAATCTGTCACTATAGAAATATAATAGTCTTTGACAATAGAACAAAACAAAAAAAAACATTTCCCCATAAAAATGTTCATGGGTTTCGTATCTGTCAAACATGTTCATCCCGTTGATAAGGTAAACTCTCGTCTCAAATTAAATAACGTACTTAAAGCTCGGCTTCGAATCGAAAAGATATATCTAGATTTGATTGCATAGATGCTTAGACGATCTCACAGCCCACCTGGTGTTATGTGGTTACCGGAGCCCATAGATATCCACAACGTAAATGCCGCCACCCACCTTGAGATATGAGTTCTAAGGACTCAGTACAGTTACACGGATAATGGCGTATTTTAGATTTAAAAAATGAAGAATGATTTCAGTAATGAAAAAGGATTGACATATTTGTATTGAGACACCGTCGTATTTCAGTTTTGCTGGATCCGGTATTATTAATTTTGGAGCCTAGGTAAATAAAGTTGTCAAAGCTATAAACTAAGGCAACAAATAATTTTTTGAAACGTAACTTAAGTTTAGTTGTGGGTAGTAGGGCTCTACACTTAAAGTTTAACAAACTACGCTAGGATTCAGTTTTAATTAAATACTAGTTTAATTTTTCTCTAAGTGTTTAAGCATTAAGGTAACATTTAGATAATTTGACTATTCGTTCTTGCGCCGACAATTGTATGAATTAGTGAAATCCAGTCCCAATCCTCATTAACTAACTCTAATTCTATAAAAAATAAATTCTGAAACTATAATCACCGCGCCACCTATCTTATGTTTACGGTACTGTAATAGAAATCTTACCTGGAACGATAACTGCACCTAATTACATTACAATCGGATCATGGCTTGGGAACGTATTGAGGATATTGTTTTTTAAATACGCTTTTTTAATTTATCAACTTATCTACGTAACGGAACATTTCAATGTAAATTTCAAACAACGTCTGATTGACTTGAAAATTTAGTCACGTATCAAGGACTGATGACAATACCTACAATCAATTTATTAATTTGGCTTAATGTGCTAAGCACGATCACTAGGGTAAAAAAGACGACATATTTATGTTTAATTCGTGTTATCATTTGAATGTATTATTCGGAATATTTGATTTGTATTTGTGATATTTTTGCTTAAATGGGTGAACTAGCTTGATGTTAAGTGGTTACTGGAGCTCAGAGACATCGACAACGTAAATGCCGCTACCCACCTTGAGATGAGTTCTAAGGCATAGTACAATGCCTGCTCCACCCTTCAAACCGGAACGCATTACTGCTTCACGGCAGAAATAGGCGGGGTGGTGGTGCCTACCCGTGCGGTCCCACGAGACGTTCTACCACCAGTAAACGACCTAATAATAACATCTAATAAACTTATAGAGAGAGAGAGAGAGAGAATAAATACACTTTATTGCACACCAAAACACAATTTACATTCAAAAAAACAGTCAAAAAGCAGATACATTTGCACAATAGGCGGTCTTATCGCTAAAAGCGATCTTTTCCAGACAACCGTTTAATTTACAGAAATTATATTACTATATAATATTACTATAGTATAGTTTATTATGTAAATAAATTCGTAATTTATATTTAAAACAAAACCTAAACCTAAAACTTCTTAAAACGAATTACAGCTATGTTAAAAGAAATATGTTTCAAATCTTGACAGTGAGCTTACAATTGAAATTGAATGAATTTTAATTTGATTTACCTATGCTACGTAATCTCAAATACACTTCATAAAGGAATTGTTCAACAGGAAATCAACTAGTAATCTTCGTTTCGGATATATGACCAACATTTGTTCCAAGAAATCTTGAAGCCCCTTCAGTTTGATATTATCCTGTATTTGCTCTTGAACAGATCTGCTTCGTTTCCATTCTTTTGCATATATGCTTTGTATGGTTTCCGGTATTATTTGGCTTTTTTCAAACTTTGAATAAACACGCTAAAATAAAAATTCGATGCAATAGTTTAAAAATACTTTTATCATCTAACTAATCGTTGGTAGCCTACGGGCTATTTCAACTACGCCCGGACAAGTTAAAGTATACAGTTATATATTATCTATACCTTTTTTTAGCTTTTATTATTAGCTGGGCCGATTTGGTTAATTTTGGTCTTGAATTATTTGTGGAAGTCCAGAGAAGGTTTAAAAGGTAGATAAATCTTCTATTTATCTTTTATTTATCGATTGAGGCACTACGAAGTCTGCTGGGTCAGCTAGTATATTTTAAAAACCAGCTTATACTTCTATCTGATATCGAATTCATTCAGAGTGCCTTTCAACAAATATTTTTGCCGTTTACCATAAAGGCTGTATTGTACATTCCTCTCTTCGATCCCAACCACTACGACAAAACGTTCTTCACCAAACGAAGTAAACTCGTCCGCCCTCGACGGCCAAATAATAATAAAATAAAATTTAAAATACCTCTCCATGTTCCCTTGTTCGTCTGATAAAATACTTTCCTTTAAAGTGTTTTGATCTGTAATCGCATTTACATAACATCTCTTCAGGTATACCCCCTAGGACACATAATATTTTATATAATACGCTGTTGTTAGTGTCGCCATGAAATAACTGACATTTTGTTGCCATTTCGAAAATCACGAGCCCGGTAGACCAAACGTCAATGTTAGATTCAGATCTTTGGTATCCTAGTATAATTTCGGGTGCTCGATAATTAGTCGATCCCATATGAGGATTTAATAAAACAGATTTACTAATGAACGCCCTATCGAATCCGCACAGTTTTAATTTTTGGTTCGAGTCGTTCAATAATACGTGGCTTGGATTGATATCTGAAAAATGTATAAAGATTTCAATAAAATAATAAATATTTTAAATAAATGTATAATAAATTTAAAAAATAATGTAAATCAATAAAAAAACATACGGGAGTGGACTATTTTTTTGCTCCGCATAAAAGCGACGGCTGACACCAACTGTTTGGCTAGAATTTGAACGTGGTCAATGTGGAAAGCATTTCCTTGTCTCTTCAACGCTTCTATCAAATTTTTAGGGTAGTATTCCATTACCGAACACCATTGTTGTCGCAAAGAAAATCTTTTATAAATGTTTATAATGTTGACATCACTATCGTGTCTATTATTATTGTATACTAGCATGTTATTTTTAAAGGATATGTTATTTCTGGAACAAATAATAGTTTTATACAGATTAACATATCATAAATAACACATTAGATAATACAAAAAACAGTAAAAAATACACACTTGGGTAGTTTAATTGCATAATTTCGGCCGCAGGTGCGGTCACATACTTTATAAATTTTAGCAAATTGGCCATTTCGAATAAGTGACGTCACTTTAAATTTACCATGCATACAATCGAACATTTTCTTTTCCAAGTCATCCATCAATCTCTGGTTATAATTGTTAAAATACTTCTTTGAAAAATTTACATTTGTTGTTCTATGTGTATTGGTCGAATATGTATCTGTTTCAGTATGAGAATGAGAAGATCTGTAATAGTTTGTTATCAGGTTTTCGCTTTCGCGTTCAGAATGGTTTGATCGTGTTGCATTTAGTAGTAGTATTCTACTTTCAGCCATTTCATTGTGGTTCAGTTTGCTTTTATTTACAGTTTCATCACTATCGGCAAAAAGTGAAGGATGTGATTTATCTTTTTCAATATATGCTAAATCTGATTCCTTTGTATCGAGATTTTTTTGAAAATTATTTTCACTATTTATTTTTCTGTTATTTTCATTTGCATGATCTGTGTTTTTGCCCATTTCTGATTTCTTAGGTAATACTGTGTTTTTATCAAATATTAGTGACGTAGTCTTATTGGTACTCGACAACTCCATATTTGAATCTAGTTTTAATATTTCTTCTAAATTGCTACTATTTATGACTTCAAAAGTACTAACTGAACCTTCATAACTGTGATTACTGCTGCTGTTTGAATCATTATCAAACATTTTAGATAATTCCTTTTCAATCAATTCTATATTATAATCACTTTTTTCAGTGTCATCAACATTATCTTTATTGTCATTCTCTTTGGTGTCTTCAACCTTACCAGTTTGGTTATTTAATGTTGTATCTAAATCTTCATCTGAAATAACAATAGTAAAATTGTTGTCATATTCTTGAAGACTTTCTTGATTCACAGATTCACCAGTTTTTGTAATAATTTTTTCTTCGTTTTCTCCTTCTTTTACATTCTGAGATAATTCTGTTCGGTTTGGTTTATGCTGATTTGAAGGTGTATAGTTTTTTAATGATCTGGAAATAATGTAACGTTTGTTTTAAACAATAATCACTAGAAATGTTCAGGTTTTCCTATAAATTTATTTCGTGTGACACCACGAAAGTAATGGCTATCTACGTGCCGAGAATAACATGAGCTTCAATTGACCTCGAGCTCTTTTAATGGATGTTTTGGTGGTAGACGTATGTACATTAAATGTAATAAGTTGTATACTTTTCAATACCTACATAAATGGAAAGGAATCTTGTGCAATGTTATTTATATGCATCATAGCTTTAAAGAAGACGATAAGGATGCAGACGAAATTTGAAACCTAAGCGTGTGACGAGGCGACCAGATAATAATACACCTACTGCTCAGATCTAATTACTAACTTCGTTCGAGGAAGAATATGTCGCACCTTTGAAATTGAAGGAGCTTAGTCCAAAATTCTGTTTTATGGTGAACCCCAAAATGTGGATTGAAGAATTGTAATACATATTTTCAGTTTAGATTTTAATACTTTAAGCCTTAAATCGCATACCTTAAAATTTAAAGTATGCGCTTGATTTAAAAGAGGCGGAAAGTGTGCTTTGTCCTTTCCTAGAGTAAAATGTAAATATTTTTTTTTAATTTTCAAATTTTATTTTTGTGAACTGATAGAGTAAAATATGTTTAGAAGTCGTTGGAAATATAAAACTCGTTTTTATAAACTTTTTTAGTTACGCCACTTCAATTCTAAAGGTGCTATGTGACAGGAACGTCTAGGAAATGGAATGGAATAATGGAATCCACTCAAAGAATTACCAAGAGTACTTCCCTTGGTACCTACGGTATAAAACGATTCTAGAACATTTAAAACGAAACTTCGATTAGAATAACATAATATTGAGCTTAAAAAGCTTCTAGGGCACCCATTAAGAGTTTATTTTTTTAACTCACTCGCATTGCTTGTTGCTCGCACATTCTTGAGATAATAATAATTCACTTTTAATTTCATCCAAATTTATAATTGGTGAAGGAATGTTTCCTATTCCACACATTTTCGTTGAATTTGAGTTTTTGTTGGGCAAAGGATGATTACTACAAGAATCGTTGTTAGTGAGTCGTTCTAATGGTATATATAAATTTTTATCCTTGATTTCGTCGCTAGATTCTCTTGAACTACTTGCTTTTTCGTAATAGTTTATGACTACGTTAATTAATTTAGGTCTACGCTTAGATTTTTTTGCTTTCTTTTTTCGCGATTTTGTTTTCTCCTTTAGTTCGACATCCAAATTTTCACTATAAATTTTCTTTAAATCATTGATAATTTTTTCTTGGTGTTCACGCAAATGTTTTCTTTCAATAAGGTATTGGTATTTTTGTTTAATTTCATTTACATTTTGTTTAAGGTTCCAGTCTGAGTCCGAACTATCTGTATATTCATTTGATCGTGATAAAATATCATCTTTGTAGTTGTTTAATGTGTTCATATCGTTGTTATGTGTTTTTTTTCTTTTGGTTTTGTGATCAGTGAAATTTGTATCTTCATGGAATGATCTGCTTTCATGTTTCATATCGTTGGATGTTATATGAGTGCCTTTTTCTTTTAATATGCAGTATCCATGGAGAGTATTTTCTGAATGTATTTGAGTTTTTGTGGTTTCATCACATTTTCTTTCAGACTTAAGATTTAACTACAACAAAAAAAAAAGATATTAAATTACAACATTTTTCTTCTTTGATTAATTTATCAATCAAGTGAGCCCTAAAGTTAAAAATTTACATTGTGTTTATTAAGATCACAAGTTACCACTAGGTTTTCGGATTATGCACTCACATTTACTCGCTATATAAACTTTATCAATGCAAACAAAGTCGTCGTGGCCTAAAGGATAAGACGTCCGGCGCATTTGTGTTGAGCGATGCACCGGTGTTCGAATCCCGCAGGTGGGTAACAATTTTTCTAATGAAATACATACTCAACAAATGTTCACGATTGACTTCCACGGTGAAGGAATAACATCGTGTAATAAAAACCAAACCCGCATAATTATAATTTGTGTAATTACTGGTGGTAGGACCTCTTGTGAGTTCGCACAGTTAGGTATCAACACCCTGCCTATTTCTGCCATGAAGCAGTAATGCGTTTCGGTTTGAAGGGTGGGGCAGCCGTTGTAACTATACTGAGACCTTAGAACTGATATCTCAAAGTGGGTGGCGCATTTACGTCGTAGATGTCTATGGGCTCCAGTAACCACTTAACACCAGGTGGGCTGTGAGCTCGTCCACATTACTAAGCAATAAAAAAATATATATGGAAAATACATAAAATTTTATGTCTCATTATGCATTTTTGTATGTAAATTAGGGCCAGAAACTACACATAGTTAGTAAGTACAGTTAAGCTTTTCGTTTCTACTACCGTAATTCGGCACTGACAGTGTGTTTCCAATGAGCATTTTTTCTCCTAAATAGCTTGTTTCCTCAGCGTTTCTCCGATACCACGAACATGACATTTCGTTCTTGAAAAAAATCATTAGAGTTAACGGCTTGAATTGGCCTGTGGCAATACTGATGTCAACTACGATGACCAATTACCATTTGCTTGTCCTCTTTCGATTTTAATAAATTATTAATATCGTTTTGTATTTTAAATATACCAAATCTTCTAAATACACATCATTCGAATATTAATGTAATTGTTTCACAGAAGATATTTTGTATAAAAAGTCAAAGATCAAGATAATATCCCCTAATTGTATCCTAATCACGGGACAACTGAGAGGTTTGTTATCTGTCTATGTCTGTGTTTATGTGTAAGCGTGCGTTTTATGTAATCAGAATATCGCAGTAATGTTCCTACTACTTCCAATGGACTAACTCTACGCGGGTAAAATTAATAATAATATCTTAACAAAAATTAGTGATTAAAACAATGGAAATTTAAAAATTAAAATTAATCAACAGAATAGCAAATATTTTTTTTGCAGTTCTATAATATGTATGTTCTCTATTTGTTTAAAACAATTTTATAAACAAACTAGCTGACCCGGCAGACTTCGTAGTGCCTCAATCGATAAATAAAGGACCTAAACTTTTGGATAAAATAAACTTAAAACAAACAAAAGGAATCTGTCCGACGGGGGATACATCAAAGGAAAAACAAAATTGTTATTTTTATTTAATTCCGTGCATTTTCATATTTATCTACCTTTTAAACCTTCTCTGGACTTCCACAAATAATTCAAGACCAAAATTAGCCAAATCGGTCCAGCCGTTCTCGAGTTTTAGCGAGACTAACGAACAGCAATTCATTTTTATATATAAAGATAACGTAAAAAAGTCATAACCTGTGTTAATTAATGCCCTTTTTAAAGTGAAAACAGGCATAGCTAACTATTAATGAAAAAAAATCCACATTTTTTAAATATTTAATTTTGCAATAGTTATTAAAAAATCATTATTAGCAAATTAATAAACTTTTATGAAAATTTATCGCAGGATCTTATGAAGTATATATATCAAAAGGTCTTCACGAAATTATAGAAATATGTATATATTATTTCAAATTTATAGGCCAATTATTTATACCTTTTATCCCATTATTTATGCCAACGGAGATTAGGAAAGATATTGTTAGTTAACAATAGAATAACTTTAAAAAAATGGTGAAAAAACTTTTTATCCTACAGGGCTCGATTCCTTCAAGTGTTAAGAAGCTAATAGAATTATTTCAAAATTTTATTATGAAATAACATTTTATATTATAAAAAAAAATGATGAACTTTCTTTAACTGTCGTAACATTCGCGCGGAGCCCTATTTTCAACGTAAATTTTAAGTTATAAACAATGGAGATGAGTATCGAAAGTTAGGACTTCTTTATCAGAAATTTCCTCCTCTTCAACGAGCTTTTTTCAAAATTGCTTAAATATTCTAATATTTTTCGAGTTAATAACGAAAAACTAAATACTATTTCTCATCTTATCAGTTTCTTCATCTTATATTGTTAATTCTTCTTCTTCGTCGCTTTCTTCATTACTGAAGGTCGTGTCCCTGAAACTCGACCGTTGCCTGTCTCGTGAGCTGTTTCCATCTCGTCCGGTCCTCAGCTGCTCGAATGGCGGTTGCGACTGGCAACCCTGTTAGAGCGGTTACTTGATCACACCAACGGCTAGGTAATCGGCCGCGGGGTCTCTTTCCTTCTACTTTGCCCGTCACAATCACTTTGTCCAAGTTATCTGACTGTCGGCGGGCAATATGACCGAAGTAGCTGAGGATCCTCTGGTAACAGATTGTCGAGAGCCTGACTCGGATGCGAAGCTGATCCAGGATAGATTTATATTGTTAATAACAATTGCTATTATTTACTTGCACCAAAATCCTTCAAAAACATTTAGCCTAGAGGTGTTCCAACGAGCTATTGCTCATATTTTTAGGGAATCCAATGAGCCATCACTCATATTGTTAGGCCCTTTATCTCTATTTTTCACGTTTTTCAAGTTGTGTGACTAGATTGTAGGGTTTGTAGTTAAAAACTCGGCTCTTGATTTGTGTGACGGTATTTATATTGATCTATAGGTTCCGGTAAGCGCTTAATATCAAGAAGGCCGTGAGCTTGTCTGCCCACGTTGTGGAGACATTATCTAGATCACATTCATAGATGTAATGTTATCAAGATGGAATTGGCAATTAAAAACAACAATAGAGTTAATAATTATTTTAGAGACGAATTAACGAATGTAGCCAATAAAATTAGTAAAGCGTCACACAGGTCACTTACATTACTGTTACGTAATTCGACTAGACTTAGTAACCTTCAAATTATTCTGCATAAGTCTGTTTTGTTTTACAGAACGACACGGTCCTTAGTTTCATTGATCTTAATAAATATATTTTAAATCGAACAATAAAATTATTGTATGTTTAAAGATTAAAGGAATGCATTGACGTGCGCATACAGTCGAACAAGTCTTATTACACGAGATATACTCGTATTATAGAGTTGATGCGAATATATTAAGAATTAAAAAACTTAAGAGGTGTCAAGGGACACCCGGATGGAACGAAGTTTCTTTCGATTAATTAGTGAACGAATTGTAATTTTTTTTTAAGTTATAATAATAAATTACGGCATTATGAAGAAGAAAAAAACAATACTATGAACTAAATTACTATTGTTGAAACGCTATCTCGAGAAACTCTACTCATTACACGGACCAATCGGATACGAGCAATGTCACGCGATAAGCGCCTACACGTTGATTGGTCAGAATGACGGATCTAAAAAGTGTCGTGACAACTTTGCGTAAGAATTTTTTCCGTCTAGCCCCCTTTCACAACGCGCGATAAGGAACTTCGTTCCAACTGTTGAATTTAAAAAGATAGCATAACATTATTACGTAATTACGTAAATGAAGGACTATTGAATCTTGTATGGTTTATTAATACTGTTTACTGTTTAATTTTTAATATTAATTTTAAAAGAATTATGGTCTTTAAAATTTTTCTCATTATATAACAGAAAAACGCAATTAAGTATTTTATTGTTTACTAGCTGACCCGACAGACTTCGTAGTGCCTCAATCGACAAATAAAAGACCTAAGCTTTTGTATAAAATAAACTTAAAACAAACAAAAGGAATCCGTCCGACGGGAGACACATCAAAGGAAAAATAAAATTGTTATTGTTATTTAATTCCGAGTTCATATATATATCTACATTTTAAACCTTCTCTGGACTTCCACAAATAATTCAAGACCAAAATTAGCCAAATCGGTCCAGCCGTTCTCGAGTTTTAGCGAGACTAACGAACAGCAATTAATTTTTATATTATTGTGAAGTACTCCATATCATTAAATGTATTAGACATATTTTACAGCACCATAGCCCCTATAGATCAGAAATACTCGCTATGGTATGCTTTTCCGCTATTGAAAGTATTAACAGATAAATATGAGCTTAAATCGAATGTTAAAACAAATAAAAAAAAACCGAGATAATTAATAATTGTTTGATGGAAATTGAAGCAAATTGATGTACATTTCTTTCTATTGCAAATAATTTGAAATTACAGTGGACCCGCAGTAATTCGACAAACGTTTTGCTNTCAGAAATACTCGCTATGGTATGCTTTTCCGCTATTGAAAGTATTAACAGATAAATATGAGCTTAAATCGAATGTTAAAACAAATAAAAAAAAACCGAGATAATTAATAATTGTTTGATGGAAATTGAAGCAAATTGATGTACATTTCTTTCTATTGCAAATAATTTGAAATTACAGTGGACCCGCAGTAATTCGACAACGTTTTGCTGGGCAGTGTTGAACTAACGAATTTGTCGCATTATAGAGTATTGCCTAAGACCCCGTATAATTCCGGATTTTTTCTACAAAACATTACTTTTTAACCCTACAAATAACCTATATATATATGCACTATGCCCTATGTGCTTGCTAAACTACTGAAAGATTCATTGCGATCTAAGCGGTCCAAAATATCACATTTAACGACATTACGTATACATTATATGTACACAATACACAATGAATAAATAATGAACGCATGCTAGGTCGCACAGCTATCATATGTATGTATTTTTTTATTTTTTTATTGCTTAGATGGGTGGACGAGCTCACAGCCCACCTGATGTTAAGTGGTTACTGGAGCCCATAGACATCTACAACGTAAACGCGCCACCCACCTTGAGATATAAGTTGTAAGGTCTCAGTATAGTTACAACGGCTACCCCACCCTTCAAACCGAAACGCATTACTGCTTCAAGGCAGAAATAGGCAGGGCGATGGTACCTACCCGCGCGGACTCACAACAGGTCCTACCACCAGTAAAATGTATGTAGTCAAATTCAAATTAAGCAATCAGAATCAAAACAATATCTACGCGTCGTGTATAATAGTGGTGGCGCATACAAGCTGTAACCTATCTGAATGCATTATCTACATTAGCGAAGATTGTCAAAAAATATTCAAAACATGTCGGATTACAAGGGGAGCAGGATTAGACAGGGTCCGGACTACCACGCATCCCTTGTACGTGATTTGGGAACTTGACCAAGGATATCCTTAAATTTCTGGAAATTTACCAGAAATAAAAAATCGGTGTCTGGTATGAACCCCATCTCCTGTCGTCGTTGTCGTAAAAAACGTGTCCGAAACTTACAAAGCTGTCTGCGAATTATAAAAGTACTAGCAACCCGCCCTCGCTTCGCTTCGGAAACTGTAATTTATTATTGATTTCTCCACTATTTAATGGATGTTATTATATATAATATAAACCTTCCTCTTCCATCAGTTTCTATTAAAAAAAAAACGCATCAAAATCCATTGCGTAGTTTTAAAGATTAAGCATACAGGACAGGGACAGAGAAAGCGACTTTGTTTTATACTATGTAGTGATACTACGATCGCCAACCGGCATTTGCTGATGGTAGGGCGTCGTATTGTAAGCCCGCACGGGTAGGCACGGGCACTACCATCCTGCTTGTTACTTCCGCAAACAGTTACGCGTTCCTGTTCCTACTTCCGCGTCCATGGGACGACCGTTTTACAATATCAGTGAGAGTTCTATCTATGCCTCAAAGTGACTGGTAGCATTCACATTGTGACGTCATCAATATCAAGCTGCAAGTTTGGTCACCCATCTACATAAAATAAAAAAATAAAAATTGTCATTGCCGGCTATGTGCACTCCGCGCCTTAATAAAAATGAATTCTAGATGAAATTTAGTGAAAAACAAAATATCACAAATTGTTCCATTAATTAGTAGTTCCTATCTATAATTTTCAAAGTGAAACAATCCAATAAAATAATCCTGTTTAAAATTATAACACCCATTTTTTGTACGTCGAATTATTATTTATTGGACAGGAAAGCAAAGAAAATTAAAAATTTAGCTAAATTAAACGAAATATATACTTAAGGCCGCTGCATACGTGACGGGTTTTTATACGGGCGGGACGGGACGGGAAGTTTGGCAAACATCGTTTCATACAAAATGTATATGAAAGAGCATATTTCACGGAGACACGGACGGGACGGGTACGTGGCACTCACGGGACGTGCTAAACATCGTCGCCGACGATGTTTAGTACGTCCCGTCCCACACTTGCCCCGTCCCGTCCGTGTTTCCGCTACGTATGCACAGTCACTCCGTTCGTTCCGGAGAGAGAACTAGTGACGTCTTGATACGCAAGTGTCGAAAATGGATAAGGAAAAACTAATCGAGTGTGTACGGTCAAATCCAGCATTATATAATTTAATTATATAATAATATATAATTCTATTCTGCCATGTAGGATGTACAGAAAATCTCCTTTTCTTGTTCACGGTCGTAGCTACTTCGTCATCTAGAGCAATTCTTGAAATGAAAAATCCACCTTTCCTTGTTCACAACACTAGCACGTTAGATCCGAGTCACTGTCACGGTGCGTATGCATTTACATCACGTTTCTGTTTTGAACGAGGCAGTCACGTCCCCGTTCCGTTCTCGTCCCGTCCGTATAAAAACCCGTCACGTATGCAGCGGCCTTTAATGTAATTAACCGTAATAAAAATAAAAATAATCATTTTTGTAATTGTATGTTCTGGTTAAGATTTTGATACATATTTTATTGCCCTTGTAGGCAGACGAGCATACGGCCCATCTGATGGTGAGTGGTTACCGTCGCCCATGGACCTCAGCAATGCCAGGGGCAGAGCCAAGCCGCTGCCTACCGCTTAATACTCTTAATTATTTTGATAGATATAGATCAATATACTAGAGCGTATTTAAAAAAAAAATTTTTTTAGTAAAAAGTATTTCGATTAAGTTCATCCAGATTTTTATCCATCCAAACAACTAAATAACAAAACATACGATTAGGTAAAACTATCATGAATCAGTTCAGTTTCCAATTATCTAATAAGAACGTTCATTTGAATTTATTTTTTTGGAACTGAACTGTTGATGTTATATTCAATTTCAAGACAAGTTCAAAGTGATCACTATGATTATAGACAAAGGAGTTCAATAATCCATTGACTTTGAGTTAACCGGCTTGTCCTTCAATATATACAAAAGCTTATTTTGGCAACCAATGATCGCAGCGTCTGGGAATTATGCATTTACATAAAATGCTTACGTATATATTATGTTTATTACGAGAAGCGGTTTGTGAGACATTCAGTACTCGGTATCGGCATATTATTGGTATTATGTCGGCATTGTGCGGCATATTAACAGAATACTGGGGAATCCATTTACGGATACCCGGTCAAGGGGGGTAAGAGACCGGGTTATGTCGGACGTATATTAATAGGATTAAAGTTCTTATATTCCGATGAAATTGACAATTTGGCATCGTTTCTTATGGCGGGCAGCAATATCTACAGTGCTCTCGATCTAGGTAAATTTTTTTTTTATTGCTTAGTTACGTGGACGAGCTCACGGCCTACCCGGTGTTAATGATTACCGGACCACATAGACATCAATAACGTAAAAGCCGCTTGAGACATAAGTTCTAAGGTCTCATTTTCAACAGTGCCCCGCACTTAAAATCGGAACGCATTACTGAATAGGCAGGGTGGGGGGTATCTGCCCGTGCGAGCTCACAACACGCCCTGCCACAAACAATTACGCAAATCATAATTTTTGTGGGCTTATATATATGATCTTATTCCTTTATTGTGAAGTCGTTCGTGAACGTTTAAGTGTGTATTTCTTTAGAAAAATCTATAGCTGCCTGCGGGATTCGAACACCATTCGAGTCGCATCGCTCGATACGATTACACCAGGTGCGTTGTCCTTTAGACCACGACGACATGCCAGACGAAACGCCAGATAGTCAGATCTGGTTAAAAAAAAGTACAAAACTTACTTTTATCTGTTTTTCTGGTTGGCTACAGGGCGCGATTGTTCCTTGCTTGATATCGTCGAGAATTTCATCTTGTAAATAGTTATCTTCTGTAAAAGCAAGAGTGTCCATTTTGAAGTTCTTTGTAGGAGATTTTTCATCCGTAGGTATTACAGTAATGCAGTTATGACGCTGTTGGTAGCGACGTTTCGACATTTCGCTGTCTATTAATCTAAAAAAAAAATTTCAATCTACATTGCAAAAATCCTCCTTCGCCCAAGGAAATATAATTAAACTTCATCCGAATGTTTACGCATTTCAATTTTTTCCTTGTTAATGCTTGCAAACAGTGTCATTTCCCGCACAATAGAGAATATGGAGATAGTAAAACGTAAATCTAGTTAATTCGATTGCTGATCAGAGAAGCTCGTAACGCCAAAAAAAAAAACAACAGCCAAGTAATTATTCAAAATAGAGTCCAACAGGCCTTTTAAGAACCCGACCCGATTTATCGAATCAAAAGCGGCATGACAACTACAATCTCGCAGAGCTTACTTATTATCGTTAATATTTTTCCACTCACATAAAATATAAATTAAAAAGTACGTGCAGTTTCTGGTGCGTGTGCTCTTCCAGAAATCGCTGCTTACACTGCGACGAGAGCTACCGCGAATATTACATTCAAACGAATCGGGGAGAAGTTATCGGCTCATTGCTATTTATTTCGTCTAAATGATTCACGGAACCGAGTTCAGGGTCTTATTATTGTTTTACGTAGTTGAGAATTAAAATGCTTTGATATATAAAAATATTTTGATGCCACTAGCTATCGTGCTTTCTTACAAAATATAGTTAAAGGGCTTGCTTGAGATTTTTGAAGCCTAAAAAATTTGTCGTCATTTTAATCACATGTCACATTTTAATTATTTTATGAGCTTGACGTCCATCTATTACTACATCTATTACTATAACTATTATACTTAGTCTGGCCATAAATACTGTTACAGTAAAAAATAAAAAAAAAATCTATTGCAAATAACATTTATTACTTTTACAGTGTGTTAGTTTAATGCATAATAATATAATATAAGCCTTTATTAACAATTTAATTTAAGTTACATTTTTAATACACTTATTATCTAGTTTTATTATTCGACACCGGTTTCTTGATCGTCTTGCTGTACAGCATAGGCCTCCCCAAGGGTTCTCCATAATATTCTATCCTGCGTTTTTCTCATCCAAGTCGTTCCTGCCACTTTTTTGATGTCATCTTCCCATCTACGTTGCTGCCTTCATCTATTTCGCTTTTTATATCTAGGACACCATTCTGTCACTCCTTTGGCCCATTTTTCTGTTTTATCTCGAATTAAATGTCCAGCCCATTTCCATTTCAGTTGTTGTATTCGGTATTTTATATCTATGATCTTTGTTTGTTTTCTTATTTTTGTTAACCGTATTTTATCTTTTAATTTCATCTTTAACATACTTCTTTCCATTCGGTGTTGATGTGTTAAATTTCTAAAGATTTTATGTTCTTATTTGTCAATCCCCATGTTTGGCATCCATAGGTCATACTTGGAAGAATGCATGTATTAAATATTTTCTTCTTTGCCTTAACAGGTATTTCTGAATTTTTCATGACGTCTTTTAATGCCCAGTACCTTTTCCATCCTATATTTATTCTGTTACTGATTTCTTTTGCTGTGAGGTCTTTGGGGGATATGATTTGGCCGAGGTATGTATACTCATTTACATATTCTAATTTAGCTGTGTTGTAAGGTTTGATAGGGTCTTTTTTGTAATTTGTCATCAGCTTTGTTTTGTTTGTGTTCAATGATAGTCCAACTTTTTCACTTTCACGTACAAGTTGCTCAATCATTTTTTGTTAAGTTTCTGGATTTTCGCTTATAAGTATGAGGTCGTCGGCAAATCTCAGATGATTTAATAACACTCCATTAATATTAATACCGTAATTGTCCCATTCGAGCTGACGAAACACATGTTCTAGGGTTGCAGAGAAAAGTTTGGGTGAAAGGTGGTCTCCCTGTCTAACTCCTTTTTTGATGTGAAAGTGTTCTCCTAGCTTTTCTGTCCGTACTCTTGCTTTCATGTTTTCGTATATGTTTTTCAATAGACGGATGTACTTATTATGGACTCCTTGTAAAGCAAGCGCTTCCCATATTTTCTGATGTTTTAGCGAGTCAAATGCTTTGTTATAATCTATAAACGATAAATAATAGTTGATGTTATATTCATTACATTTTTGGATTATTTGTTTTATAGTATCTATATGGTCGAAAGTAGAGAAGCCACTTCTAAACCCTGCCTGTTCTTTTGGCTGATTTTCGTCCAGAGTCTTTGTTAATCGTTCTAGTACTATCTTGGAGAAAAGTTTATAAATATTAGACATTAGTGAAATGGGTCTATAGTTCGAAATATCATCTGTTCTGCCTTTCTTATGAATTAAGATAATCGTTGATGTAGTCCATTATTGAGGTATATGTTCCGTTGTTAGAATATCGTTAAATAGGTCGGTTAGTGTATTGGAGATAGCATGGTACATTCCGACAAGAAGTTCATTAGAAATATTGTCTTCCCCTGGTGCTTTATTTTTCTTTAGTGACTTCGTGGCATTATTGACTTCATCTATTAGTATGCTAGGCACCTGTTCTTCTGAAAAATTTTCTTCTTCTTTGTCTAAAGTAGGTGTTATTGATTGGTCATCGTAGAGCTCTCGATAGAAATCGGTCGCGGTTTGGAGTATGTCACTTCTTTCCGATTTATGTTTTTTTTGTCTTGTGGTGTGTTACGTTATTTATCCAAGTTGTATATTCTTGGAGTTCTTTCCATGCCTTCTTGAGCCCACCTGATTTATCTATATGAAGTTGTAATGTCTCTGTTCTTAATTTTTGTTTGTGTTTTCGTATTTCTAAGTTTATATTTTTACTAATTTTTGTTATCTCTTGCTTGTTTTTCTTTCTATTACTAAATAGAAGGCTCCTCTTTCTAATTAGGTCCCTTGCTATTGGTCCTAATCTATCTTTTGGTGTGTTTTCTCTTTCTAGCTGTTTGTTGATTTCTTTTAATACGTTTTCCAGAGTATTATATTTTTCTTGTGTCGTTTTCAGTTCTTTAATAATTGGTCGTAGCTTTATTCCTAAAGATTTTAATATATGATTTGGTACTGGTAGAATGATTGGCAGCTTTCTATTTTTTATAAATTTTATTTTATTTTTTGGTTGAAACATATGAAGGTGGCCTCGTAGTAATCTGTGATCTGTGTTAAAATTAAATTTGTTGAGAACTTCCACGTTTAAGAAAAGTTTCGGTTTATTTGTTGTAATAAAGTCAATTTCGTTTCTTGTTGAATGAAACTATTCATTACACTTAAGTTATTCTCTGCCGCGTAGTTTATCAACCTTTGTCCGTTATCATTTCGTTTGCCTGTTGTGTAGGGTCCTATTATTTTATCTTCGTTTTTTCTCCTCTGACCAATTTGGCTATTAAAATCTCCCATTACAATAATGGTTTTGTATGAATTCTCCATTATTTCATTTAAGCTTTTGTAGAATTTGTTTTTAGTCTCTTTCTTTGCTGTTTCTGTAGGAGCGTATATCTGAACAATTGAAGTTGGATTTTTGTAGCCAGGAAGAGTGATATTTATAATTGCTATTCTATTTGACATTCCTTTAAACTCTATTATATTGTTTTTAAGATATTTCTTAACCAAGAATCCCACGCCTTATATTCCTGGTTGTTCATTTTTGTAATATAATATGTATTCATTATGTTCTTCAATTTTTTCAGCCGACCGTCTGACATCACTTATGCCGAGGATATCCCAATTGATGTGATTCAAAGCTTGTTCCAGTTCTAATAATTTTTCCTTCGATTTTAATGATCTAGTATTTAGTGTTGCTATACATATTCTATGTTTTCTAGCCTTTGTATTTGCTTCATTTAACGTCTGGTTTTTAGTTGGATTTGGATTAGAGTCGAAATTTTCGAGATCTTGGGGGTAGTGGTCGGTGACCCCGCGGTGACCAGCCGTATTGGGGTTTTCATTATATGTATTGGATGGATTTCGTTACCGGTGTCTGTTAATTCCTATGGTTTAATTTGTTTTTCATTGAAAGAGGATGATCTTGCCCTCATATATTCGAATGCATTGGTTTTGTGTAATTTTGGTGGTGCAATAATATGTTCCGAGTTTTTGGTGTGTGTAGGTGTATGCATGATATTAGGTGATGTCGAGGTTTCCCGCTTTCTTTTTTCGACATCCGACGTATCTCTTAATATAATTTTATTGTTTCGAATGAATGCCTCTTTTCCATTTTGTTTTTCTTGTTTGAGTTGTTCTTGTAAGTTTTTGCGTAATGCTATTGTTTCTTTTGAAAAATCTTGTGTGATATAAGCATGTTTCGGCATTTTCATCTTATTTTTCAATATTTCTAGTTTCTTTAGAAATGACGTAAAAGATATGAGTATTGGTCTCACTTTTTCCTCATCATGCTTTTTTCCCAGTCTATAGTAGTTATTTATCTCATAGGAGTTGATATAAACATTTAAACGTTTCATGATTTCTTTTATTAAATTAAATAGTTCTTGTCGATTATTTTCTATTTCTTTTATGCCGTGTAGAATCAGGTTGTTTTTCTTACCTTTGTTTTCTAAGTATCTTGTTTTGTCATTCAACTTCTGTACCTCGTTTTTAAGATACTTATTTTCTTCCAATATTGGTTTTATTTTGTCGTCTATATTGCGCATGATACTGTCGGTTACACTCCGAGTAATCGTTGCAGTTTGTTTATCGAGTTCCAATTTCATCATCTGGAATAGTTTTGTCATATCCTCTGACATTTTGATCGAAGCCATCGTGATGTAAACAACTGTTTTGGTTTGTGTAGATTGGAACGTAATTTGCTCGTTGCGTTGGCACCACTGGGTGTCGTTGACGTTTTTCACTTTTTAAAGTCGTGACAGATTCTGCGTTTGANGATTGGAACGTAATTTGCTCGTTGCGTTGGCACCACTGGGTGTCGTTGACGTTTTTCACTTTTTAAAGTCGTGACAGATTCTGCGTTTGATCTAGTTGTCAGTTGATATTTATTTATTTCTACCCTCAATGGAAATCTCAATGTGTATGTGTACCGCAATACAATCGATGTTAAAAAGTGTTTTCTTTTAGTTTTTTTTGTGTGTTTTCTTTTAGTTTTTCTTGGTGTTTTCATCAATCTTCCTTTCCAAGTTTTTGTTATGTGATACACGTTTTATATTCGTTGGTTTTCACTGTGGTATGTAATAAAAACTGGG